GAGAGAGGAACCTACTTTTCTCAAATTCTCTAATCTGTCCCTGGACCACAGGAACACTCCATCCTTGTCAATGTGAAATACTGGTTGTGTGCAGAACCTAAAATTACACCCATTGTGGCATAAAATAGTTCCCAAACCCTAAGAAGTTACAGTTTGGATGAGCATGAAACGTAGTTGGGGTGTGACAAGGGAGGAGTCTATGCTGGGCCCTCAGATGAGTGTATGGGGTGCCACTTTGGGTCTCTAGGCCCCCAGGGGTGCCTGGATGGTTGGTGAGGAACCTTGTCCACACTCTTTCCTGTGTTGCAGATGAAGATGCCTTCTAAGAAGTGTGCACACATCCCTGTCTACACACTTGGCTTTGAGAGTCTTCAGAAGGTGCCAACTACCAAAGCCACACCAATGCTGAGGAGAGATGCCTTTCAGTATGTTCTGTTGCCTTGTTGCTGGTATCCTGTGGTAGTGAGGAACTGAAAATAACCAGGAAACTAGGGCAGGTGCCTATGGCACTGTGAGGATTTCTCCAAGGAACAGTCAAGTCATTTGGCAGGGCTCTGGAGGCAGAGTTGTAGGGAATTGAGCTTGGGTGGTCTGGGCTCAGGACCTCAATGCCGGTTGAGGAAGAGCTTCTGCAGGGATGCACACTGACAGGTATATTCAGTCAGACTCCTGTGGATGAGTCATGGGAAGGAGAGAAGAGGCAGCAGGCAGCTTGGAGGGGTGACTGCAGACATAAAAAGCAAGATTTGGGATTTTGAAGTGGCAGGACAAGGCCTCTGGAGGATCCTGGCCTAAATAGGGTTCTCTCTTCTCATGGTTCTCTCCTGGCATCTCTCCATCCTAGATCCCTGCAAGGACCGAAGTGGCGGAGCGTAGAGGAGGAGTTCCCCCACATCTATGCCCATGGCTGTGTCCTGAAGGATGTCTGCAGTGACTGCACCAGCTTCGTGGCTGATGTAGTATGCTCCAGCCGCAAGAGTGTGGATGTCCTCAATGCCACTCCACAACGCAGCCAACGCAGCCGCCAGACCCAGTCCCTCTATATCCCCAACACCAGGACTCTCAACTTCCAATGACTGTTGTGATGGCCACCCTGCTCCCCATCCTGGAACACAGCTGCCATCAACCCCCTTGCGCATGTACATATATACATATATAGATATTTATAATATATATACAGCCTATATATTTATATTTATATACATTGTCTCTTTGCCCTACAGTTCATTTAGGGCCAACCTTATTCCAGAAACCTTCCCTCTTCCTTTCCTCTCAGGAATCCTTGGAAAGGCTGGAAGGGATTGGGGAATGGAGGAAGGGCAGCTTTTCTGCCCCGTACCTTGGTTCTCTTCAGTAGTGAACATATGGTGGGCTCTCTTCCCTGGGTGGACAGGGCACCTTGGTACTCAGGTGAACCTAAGTATCAGGTCCACCTATCCTTTAGGGTGCTCAAGCAGCAGAGGCACCTGGGAGGCCTCTGAGTGTGTGGGATTCTGCTGGGAGGAAGCCAAGCTGGCTCTTGGTCCCTTGCTAGCATCATGTGACTTTTCCTGGGGAGATATGAACGGACATCTCTTCACCCCAGATAGGTCACTACAGACCAAAGGACCACTCAAGTCTAGCCTGATGAACCAGTGAGTTCTCTGAGATTATGGTAACACGGTGAGGGGTTACTTACAGGAACGTAAGTGACTCTCAAATAGTTGCATCACTCCAAGCCCCTACCCAAGGATAGGTAACAACTCATGAAAGGTGCATCGCTGTAATTCACACCCCCAGCCGATTTTCTACTTCCTATACCAAGACAATGGTGCAGCTGGGTGCGGTGGCTGTGGTGGCTGGAATCTCCTGTGAGGGCTGGGTGACCTGCTTCCTACCCGGCGGGGACTGTTAACCCTATAACCATTATCATAGACCTCCACATCAGGATATTGTTATTTATTTCACAGCTGTGGTTGCAGGCCAGTGTAGTCTGTAGGTCACCACAGCTGCTTAGCTGCATGATGGTGATGGTTATGTTCATTAAACCCAGAGGAAATACCTACACCTGGACTTGGGAGGGGCCTGTGCTAAGCACCCTGCCTGCTTACATGCGCCCAAGAGGTGGGTCTTGTCATCACCAAACCTTACAGATTAGGAAACAAAGCTTCAGTGAGGTAAAGAGATTTGACTGCTTATTTCAGAACATGCCAGAATTTCAACTGAAGCCTGTTATTTGAGGCCTCCTGGCTGACTCCATGCTCTCACACCCTGCTTAGGACTAGAAGAAGCACCAAAGGCACGTGACTGTGACAGATGGATCTGTGGGAGTTATCTTTGAAATTAGAACACCCAATAAAAGCAGCTAGCTCCCAACACTTGTCTGAGCACTTCGTAGACTGCCTTTGTATTTTGTCTTCTAAATTTTAAAAGATATATTTATGTTATGTGGGGTTTTTTTTTTTGGATTAATTTATGTGCACTGCATTTGTGCAGGAGCCCATGGAAGCTATCAAAGTGGAGTTGCAAGCAGTTGTGAGAGCCATGTGGGTGCCAGGAACTGAACTCAGGTCCTTGGCTTCAGCAGCAAGCACTCTTAACCACTGGGCCATCTCTCCAGCCCTTTGTTTTGTTTTAAAAGAACAGGCAGAGAGGGTCAGGAATTACTACTGTCATTCAACCAGCAATAAAAACACTCATGTTTAACCAAGTATGGAGGCTCACATTTGTTATCCCAGCACTTGGGAATTAGAGACAAGAAGATCATTAAGTTGAGCCTAGTTTGGCTACATAGCATGTTCCAGAGAGGTCTGAGCTATCTGGTGAACTCTCAGACAAGAAAACCCTCCTGCTTATGTAGTGCTCTCATGGACAGCCACTCCTGGAAACTACAATCGCTGATATACAGACTCAAAAGCAGCCACATACCCAGCTCACACTCCCAAACACGGGGGTACCCAGTTTCTGATCCCCACATAACACTTACAAATGAAAGCAATAAAGCCCATCCCAGGAAACAGCCATGCTGAGCTGAGGGATGATGCTTACAGGTTGTACAGTTCCCTACAACTGCTTCCTGAGGCTGCCTAGGCAGGAGAGCAGCTTGTGCTCTGTCTTCTTATTGTCATTGGGCTTGCTGGTCTCTTCCAAACAGTAGGCTGCATATCAGCCCACAGAACCAGCCTCAGCCTCATCTATTGGAGACCATGTCAAACAGAGTGGCTTAGAACCGAACTTTCCTTAAGGACCAGATCTGCAGCAGTTCAGGGAGACACATTTGGAGCTAGTGGTTCAGGGAAGACCAACTCCCAGGCTGGGCCTGATGCATCCTTCAGTGTCCGAAACCTCTCTCTGGAGAAGCAGTTCCAGATGGAGAGCTCCCATTTTATTCATAGATGAGGCTCCCGGCCTGGGTAAGCTGGTCACATCACTTGATCATGGATGACACAGAAGCTAGCCTAGTCCTGAATAGTCAGACTAGACATGAAGGTGGTGTGCTGAGCCTGATGTGGAAGAGGCTGGGACTTATGACAGTGACTAGAAGCAGGGAGAGGGTTGTGAGGGGGGACACCTTGAGACAGCAGCTATGGGCCATCAACTTTGAAGTACCTTAAGGTTCTAGCATAGTGTGGGCAGAGCAGCTAAGCCAGTCACTGGGCTGAGCATTCAACCTAGGCAGGAACCAAGATTCCTGGGGGAGGCAGGCTCATGGACAGTGGATTCACAGCAGAGTTGGAACTATGGGATGATGCCCTGCCCGCCTTTTCTGTCCTTGCAAATAGCCTACCTTGTTTGGACTTTGGGAGTCACATGAAGGGAAACTGAGGTTCTCTCTGGGCCACTTACTCATTAAGTCAATTTCTTCACCTGTAAAAGGATATCTGTCTCCCAAGATTAGACTCTAGAACATGCCTGGCCTGGTGCAACAGTGACGGCTGTCCCCACACCCACACTGCCCTCTTCTCTACTCTCAAGGTGGGAAAGGGTCCAACCCAACACCAGTTTATCTTACATTTGTACTTTGGAGGTCCTCAAGCCTGGCTTGTCTAGGAAATTTTTTTCAAAAGTATAAAAAACTGGGCCTGGACATGGCACAGCTTTGTAATCCTGGACTTTCAGAGGCAGGATCCCTGTGAGTTCAAGGGCAGCCTGGTCTACATCGCAAGTTTTAGGTCAGCCAGGGATACACAGCAAGATCTTGGGTTTTTTGTTTGTTTTGTTTATCAGAGACAGGGTTTCTCTGTGTAGCCCTGGCTGTCCTGGAACTCTGTAGACCAGGCTGGCCTCAAACTCACAGAGATCCACCTGCTTCTGCCTCCCGAGTGCTGGGATTAAAGGAGTGTGCCATCACTGCCCGGATCTTGGGGTTGTTTTGTTTTAAAGAAAGAAAAAAAAGAGCCAGATCTGTGCAGAGGGTCCCTACATCCCTACTGTGAAAACCCTCCTGAATTAGAATTCACGTAGGGCTGGCCACCTTGACTTCGGACCACCGATCCACACCTAGACAGCTACTCCTCCGCCAACACCACCATAATACGAGCATCCCCTGTTGCGTTCACGACAGTAAAAAGTAATTCCTAGTACCTAAATCGGTTCTGTGCACCTCATGGAGAGGAGATATGCAGGAATCTGCATACTGAATAAGCTCCTCGGTTTAGACTTTATTAAGGCGGAAACTGTCCCTTTGCAGTCTAGTACAATGTGGAGGTGGGGAACATCGGACGGTCGCATGGGTAGGCTACGCAGAGAGGGGATCGGGACTGCGTCCGTCGCTCCTGTCATATCAGAACAGTCTCTTTGCACGGGGACCCTTGCAGCATGTGCACCTGCTCTCGCTCCCTCCTCACCTGGCCCCACCTAAAAGTCCTCCGGCCCCGCCCGCCAGCCCCAGGAATCACGTCAGTGGCTTGCAGCGTTCTGAGCCTGCGCGTCCCCGCCCGCGTCACAGCCAGTTATCTGCAACCCAGACACCTCCAAAGCCGAAGAAATACCGCACGACTGCCGGTGCAACGCCGCTGCTAGGGCCCAACTCTCGCGAGAACTCTCTGGGGGCACCCTCGCACCTTCTCTGACTCCACGGGTAATTGGGAGGAAGTTCCGGAGAGCCGCTGCGCGCAAACGCGACACGCCAACCTTGCGCCAGCGCGCCGCAAGTGCGCAGGCGCCGCCGCTCTGCTGCTCTTCCTCGTCCCTCTGCCTACAGCAGGCTGTCGGGTCCTATGTCGCGCCGGGCCCTCCGGAGGCTGAGGGGGGAACAGCGCGGCCAGGAACCCCTAGGGCCCGACGCCTTGCAGTTTGTCCTCCTTGATGACGATGACGCGGAGGAAGAGGGACCAAAACAAGGGTTGGGTGGCCGGCGCCCCGGGGGCGCAGGGAAGGAAGGCGTCCGTGTCAACAACCGGTTCGAGCTGGTGAGGAGCTGGGCAACCCGAGGGGAACGGTGTGGGAGGCATGACGTCATACGAGGGGGCATAAAGTTGAGTCTAGACTGCAGGCGAGTGGGCGGAGTGAAGGGCCTGCGCTGCATCGGGGAAGGCGGGTCTTGAGCAGGGTGGGTGGGGTGACGAGGCAGTGCTGAAGAGCCCGTCGGGGTGGTGTCGAGGGGCGGGGTTCCCTCCCTAGATAGAGGGGAAGGTGGGAGAACATGCCGAGCGAAGGGGCTGAGTGCTGTCAAGGCTGAGTGATAGAACTTCGCTGCAGTCCAGGGCGTGTCTCCGGCCAGTGTCGAGAGGCGTGGTGTGACGGACAGGCCGGAGCCGTGACGTCAGAGCGGGCGGGGCATGACACATGAGACAGCTAAGGGGAGGGCCGGCAGGGATGATGAGGGGAAGACGGGGTTCGGTTGGGTCTGGGCTTCAGTGAAAGAGTGGGGTTGTGCTGTCTGGGGCGGTGCTGTAAGGGGTCGGTGTGGCTTCATATCTGCGACTTGAGGGGGTCTCTTTACCAGCATTGCGGTTTATTCGTCGCAGCCCTTGTCTGCCCCAGCAAGTTGTACCTAGCGCGTCCCTCGCAGGAGGTCTCAGACACAGAAAAATGTGTAGCACTCTTGAGTCCCATAATGTTTTTCCTTAAGACTGACTGACCTAGTGCCAGCAGTTTCCTATGTGTGTGGGTTAGGATTCTGACTTCATGTGTGGGCAGGTAACATGTCTCTCTTGCTTGTTTTGTATCTCCAGCATGCACACATATGGTAAGGCTTCGGTGGCCATATTTTAGTGAGTGAAAACTTGTCTGAAAGTCCTTTGTAATAATCTTGCACGCCTTTAATCCCAGCACTCGGGAGGCAGAGCCAGGTGGATTTCTGTGAGTTCAGGGCCAGCCTGGTCTAAGGAGTGAGATCCAGGACAGGCACCAAAACTACCCAGAGAAACTGTCTCGAAAAAAAAACAAAATCTTGCAGCGGGTTGTCCCCAGCTTTTTATCAATTGGCAGGTTTAAAAGTCCCTAGCCAAGATACTGAGGAGTGTGGGAAATGTCGTAGAAGCTTGGGTCCGAGATTATTCACCTCTCCAGTGAGGAAGGAGAGGGCTTCACTGTGTAGTCTGTGGTGGTACTGAAGTCTTTCCTTAGTACTGACAAAACTCTTCTTCCTCCTCTGATTTTCAGCCTGAAAATAACCTCCATCCTAGTCTGTTTCTTGTCCTTTCATTTTAATTTTTTTGGCTTTTTTGTTTGTTTTGTTTTTCGAGACAGGGTTTCTCAGTGTAGTTTTGGTGTCTGTCCTGGATCTCCGCTCTGTAGACCAGGCTGGCCTCGAACTCACAGAGATCCACCTGGCTCTGCCTCCCCAGTGCTGGAATTAAAGGCATGTGCCACCGCTGCTGCTTGGCTCATCATCATCATCCATTCCCGCCCCCCACCCCCACCCCTACTCCCCATCCTGCTTCAAGATAAGGTTTGTCTGTGTAACAACCCTGGTTGTCCTGGAACTTGCTTTGTAGACCAGGCTGGCCCTTAACTCACTGAGATACATCTGCCTCTTCCTCCCAAGTGCTGGAATTAAAGGCATATGCCACCACCGCCCAGCTGTTTTTTGTTTTTTCTTTTTGTGACAGGGTTTCTCTGTGTAGCCCTGGCTCTCCTGGAACTTAAGAGATCTGCCTGTCTCTGCCTCCAGAGTGCCGGGATTAAAGGTGTGCACCACCACCACCTGGCTGGGTTTAATTTTAAACACACGAAACATAGGGGTATATGTGCTGGAGAGATGACTCAGCAGTTAAGAGCACTGACTGCTCTTCCAAAGGCTCTTGCTTCAATTCCCAGCACCCACTTAGTGGCTCACAACCATCTGTAACTCCAGTCCTGGAGGACCTGACACCCTCCTCCCTCCTCTGTGAGCACTGCATGTACATACATGGTACACTGTCATACAGGCAGGTAAAACACCTATACACATAAAAATAAATATTTTTAAAAAGAAACACGATAAAGCCTTAATGGTGCCATCTTAAAAGAAGCAGGATCACGGTGGCTTTATCTTCTACATAAAAAAATTTAAAAAAAAAGGGAAATATAAATAACCCTATGTGCCCATGGCCCAGTTCCCAGTTACTGACATTCAGTCAGTCTACATGTCTGTAAAATAATTTCACTCCTTTCTCTCCAAGAAGTGATTTCAAAGCAGATCTCAGGCGTCACATCGTTCACCCTTACATGAGTCTTCCTCCTTGACAGCAACTGGTGTTAGCTCTCAGACCTCGGGCATCTGAGACCATTGGCCCTAAAGATTTTATAGTTCTCTGGACCTCTTCCTCTGGTGATCAAGGCTTGCATTTTCTCTCCCCGACTCTTTATGACTCTCTACCTTCAGCCTCAGCGCTCTGTTCTCTACTTCTGCCTCCCTGTGTTCCTGCCACTCTCAAACTGTTACCTGCCTCTTTGAGGTGGCAGCAGCGGATGCCTTGCCATAGGGGGGCCCAGGCTGCTCACTGCTCAGCTGCTTCTTTCTCTGTATTACTGGCTTAGCCCACATTACTAAATAGGCAAGAAAAGGGGCTGGAGAACTGACTCAGTGGTTAAGGGCCCTTGTTGCTTTTCCTGAAGACTTGGGTTTGGGGGAGTCATATACCTACAAATCAACCAAGGCTTGTGATTAGTAAAAGTCGGATACAAACTGAAGTAATATTTCTGAGGCTGCACCTTTAGGAGCCTGTACAATCAACTGTGATCATAGTGTAGTTGTTTTTTTTTTCAAGGCCCTCTGGAATGGTCAGAGGAATATTGAATATGGATAGTCTGCCTTACTATTGGATGGACAGTTCTTTTCCTCAAGGCAGCTCGGGAAGAATCCAACAATTGCCAATCAGAGAATCAAAATGCTCCATCCTCCAAAGCCTTTGCTTAGTTATAGAGAAATTAACATCAGAATTTGAAGCCGTTATTAACATCCATAGTGATTCTAACTGATTTTAATATTGTCTAACGTGCTTGGGGGCGGAGTGAGGCCCCTTTATCGGTCTTCACCTCCGGGTGCACAGGGAGACTTCATCGCTGCTGCTGCTGCTGCTGTTCCTCTCCACGCTGTTCTGAGTACACAGCTGATAGCTCTCCTTTCCCAGCCGTTGTCAGGAGCCAGGTTTGGGCAAGACGGTTCTCCCCGACCTTGTCTTTTCTAATCTTGCTCACTATGTTCCAGCCACCCTGACCTCCCTTTGCCTCCCCCTCTGGCTGCAGTCCCCTTTGTTGAGATACTCACAAAAGACTTACTCTCACCTCCCATGGACTTGCTTAGGTGTTAATCCACTAGTTGTGTCTACCCTTACCATCTGACTAAAATTACAACCATCCTCGGTCACATTCCTTGTATTCTGTTTTGGTTGTTTTTGTTTTGTTTCCTTTCCTCCTGGCAGTTGCCACCAAACACACTATACTATTCTTTTTGTGTGTGTGCTGATGGTCTTCCACGGCTGGAATATGAGTTTTTTGGAAACAGACTTTGTTGCTCACTGATGTGTCGACAGTACTCAAGATAGTGTCAGGCGCCCAGCATGCGTACCAATCTGTGCTGATTTTAATAAGACAAATTACTTTAGGCATGTATGCAAGAGTGTGGAATCAGATGAACCTAGACCTGTATCCTGGCTGTCCCTTTTTATAGTTGAGAGCTTGGACAAGATACTGAATGCAAGTTTTGGGGATGCTCTTGATAACTCATAGGGCTGTCATGAAGACTGCATAAACTCATGGAGGCAGTGTGTAACATATGCTGGGCATGGGGTCAGCACTGAACCCATGTAGGTGTGTGCTGTTGGAAATGGAAGGGGACAAACGAATGTAGAAACACATTACTGTAAGTGGTTTACTTGGATATAGTCTTAGGGGCTGGTGATGTCCTTTTTGGAGAAGGAAGCAGGGTAAAAGATGGCCTGGGGCCACTCCTGACTAGATTAGAAATCATCTTTACCATTTCAATCAGAAGAAGTTTAAAAATCAATTTATTGCTGAACATGGTAGCACATACCTTGAATCTCAGCGTTCAGGAGGATTTCTGAGTTAGAGGACATTTTGACCTATATATCAAGTTCCAGGCCAGCCAGGGCTTCCTAGTGAGACCCTGTCTCAAAAAAAAAAAGAAAGAAAGAAAAGTAAACGAAATCAACTTCTTCAAGTTATATAATAAAGTATGTGTCCTTGAAGCATCCAGATTGGCTTTGCCATTTCCAGCTGTGTAACTTGTTCATGCTTCACACATCTGGTGTGTGCTCATTTGTACTGGCCCCTTGCTCAGAACATACCTTGAGAGTTACAGTTTTGAGTATTCATGGTTTGTTCTTCCTTACTGCTGAGTAGTAGTATATTTACCTGTTGTTTGCTTTGCAGTGATGGGGATTGAATCCAGGTCTTATACATGTTAGATCCTCCTGCCTGTCCTCCTAAGTGCTGGGATTAAAGGCATGCACCACTACCATGGCTTTTTTTTTTTTTTTAAAGAAATTGTCTGAGCTGGGCCATTGTGGCCCACGCCTTTAATCTCAGCACTTGGGAGGTAGAGGCTGTTAGATTTCTGAGTTCAAGGCCAGCCTGGTCTATAGAGTGAGTTCCAGAACAGCCAGGGCTATCCAGAGAAACCCTGTCTGAGGGGAGGGGGATATGGTGGCACCAAGAGGCAGGCAGATCTCTGTGAGTTGAGGCTAGATTGTCCTACTCAGTGAGTTCTAGGATAGCCAGGGCCACATATAGAGATGCTGTCTCAAAAAAAACAGAAACATATATATAATATATATAGATACGTAATAATATATAATATATATACAGTATATTGCTTATATTTAATTATGCTTACATTATATTTGTAATATATAACTATATAGAGGCTATAATATATACCATATATAGGTATATTGTTTTTATATTTATATATTTAATATATAATATTATATAACATAAACTTATATACAAATATATTTATATTAATAAATATTAAGTGTGTTTATATATAGAAATATATTATACTTATATACATAAATATAATATATAATATAGATATGAATAATATATGTTGTAGTCTATATGTATGGTCTCTATATAGTATCTATTATGTATATTTTATGTACTGTGTCGGGGCTTGAGAGATGGCTTGGCAGCTAAGAGCACTGGCTGCTCTTCCAGAGGTCCTGAGTTCAATTCCTAGCAACCACATGGTGGCTCACAACCATCTATAGTGGGTGCCCTCTTCTGGCATAAAGTTGTACATCCAGATAGAGCACTCATATACATAAAATAAATAAATCTTTTTTTTTAAGTTATATATACTGTGTGTACATATATATGCACATGCATATAAACTCGAAAGAAAAAAGACAAACAAAATTAACTAAAAAAATTGACTTAGTTGGGTGGGGTGGTACATGAAGGCTAATTCGGGAAGATTGATATGGGTTCAAGGCGAGCCTTGGCTTCATAATGAGACTCTGTCTTTAAAAACAAATTTTTTTTGAGCCTACTGCATGCCTTTAATCTCAGCACTCAGAGGCAGATGCAGATGGATCTCTTGAGTTTGAGGACAGCCTGATCTACAGAGCAAGTTCCAGGACAACCAGAGCTACCCAGAGAAATCCTGTGTCTTAAAAAAAAAAAAAGTTAGCACTTTGGTGCACATCACAGTAATTTTATTATATTAGAACAATATGTAAATCTTTCACTAACCTCTTACAAACCTGAATGAGCATATTTCCCCCTCACAGCTGGAGAGTATGAGGGGAAAATTCACATGACTGCTCTTTTGACTCTGGTTCCAACTGTAGGGGTTCTCAAGGCCGCCTTCCAGGTTTAGTAAATAGTGAGAAATAGAGAATTTATTTGGTTCTTACAACGTACGGCAGGGAACATCATAGACAGTGGAATACCAGAAGCAATGCTTGCACTGTTGATGGAGGTGGGCCTCCAGTACTTCTGATGTCCGTGACCTTGTCCCTGGAGCACTCCCAGCCAGGGAAGGTGACCTGAGTCTCTATGTTCAGGTTTTTTGTCTTGTTTTTGGCATCAGGGGTTACAAGATGAACTGGTTCCACAGTATATTGTTGGAGTTCACTTGAAGGGGCTTTACTTTATAGCTCACATGACTGACCTAGATCTGTAGGGCTTCAGGAGGACACCCACATTAGATCATGTTGCTACCATGACTTGGCCTCAGGGCCCCTGTAAATCCTCTGGGAAGTGTGGGTCGAATCGCCAGTGAAGAAGACATTACTGTGGAGAATGACCAGATGCTTAGATGTTAACTGCTCAGAAGCCAGGACAAAGGCCAGGCCTTTATTTGGATGGGATTAAATTTTTTTTTCCCCCAAGACAGGATTTCTCTGTGTAGTTTTGATGCCTTTCCTGGATCTCACTCTGTAGACCAGGCTGGCATCGAACTCACAGAGATCCACCTGGCTCTGCCTCCCAAGTGCTGCTTGGATTAAAGGAATGAGCCGCCACGGCCCGGCTCAGCCAGTACTCTTAACTGCTAAACTCTTCCTCTAGCCCATTTTCATTGTTTTTTGTCCTCCAGCCTGGTAAGGTGTCTTTAGCAAGGTTTGCATAGTGAATATTTCTGTGAGGAAAGAAAGAATGTGTTAGCATTCTATTTGTGAGGGTTTTTCAACAATGGAAAAGGAAAATATCTGTGATGTTTCCAGATGTCTGCTCGCTTCTGTCTCTACACAGACAGCTGCTATTCCTGATTTCTAGGTACATAATCACTCCCCAGAATGAAGGGTTATGCTGACTTCCTTAGACCAATTCAGAAAGTAACTTCTCTTTTAGCAGCCTGTTACAGGCATTGTGGTACCTTGTCTAGCAAGACTAACAGAGTTAATCGTTTATTGAGGCTGGAGATGACTCAGTAGTCAAGAGCACTGGCTGCTCTTCCAGAGAACCACATGGTGACTCATAATTGCCCAGTTCCAGGGGATATGACATTCTCCTCTGACTTCCATGGGCACCAGACTTTCATGTGGTGCATATACATACATGTAGGCAAAATACCCATAAACATAAAAAAAATTTAAAGTTGCGTTTGGGAGGCACTCAGTAAATGGGGTCATTGTGGTTTGGGAATGTCATGCCCAAAGATGAAGATGCCATGCACCATTCATGTATTTTGGGTGCTCTGATGGAGCCAGAAGTCATTCACAAGCTCAGGAATGTGCTGGTGCTACATGGATCAGATGCCCCTTCCTTCTCACTACCCCACCCTGAGCCCATTCAGAGTCTTCTCCGTTTCTACCTGTGTAGTGTGTCCATGTACACTGGACTGGGGTGCTCAGTTGCTTTCATTTCCCTCCTGTCTTTTTTCCCAGATAAACATCGAGGATCTTGAGGATGACCTTGTGGTAAATGGGGAGAAGTCTGACTGTACCCTGCCGGACTCTGTGTCATCAGGGAACAAAGGAAGGGCTCAGCGTGGAAACCCAGAGACAAAGCAAGATGGGGATGTGGCCAAGGCAGGGTTCCCAGAACAGGTACAGGGGACCGTATGGTGATGGGGTGACTGAGGCATGTCAGAGGGAAAGCCCCAAAGTGCTGCAAATATTTCCTGTACTACCAGTTTACTGAATTCTTCTGAGTTTGAGTCCATCAATTGTTTGGTTGCCCCGAGGAACCTGGATGAGGTTTCTGTGGAAATCTGAAGACCAGAGGTAGCCTCAAGGGTACCATATAGAGTGTCTACCTGCCTCTTTTGAGTGCATCTGTGTCTGGTCAGAAAATTCAGTCTGGTGAAGCCTGAATTCTCACAGAAGGACTTGGCTACAGTAGGTATAGCAAGAGAGCAGGGGTAGGGCTCACTGAGGCACCCTGGCTCAGTGAGTCCCCATCCTCAGGGTAGGTGGAGCGCAGCAGGGAATGGATGGCAAAATGAAGAAAGAATGGCAGTGGTCAGGTGGCTGGATGGTCCTGTGAGCTATGTCTGCTGCAGGTCACAGGAAGCCCTGAAGCACAACAGGGCAGGGTACGAGAGAGGCCATTGTCACTGGCACAGACATGGCAGGTGTTTCTTATTGCAGAAACTCGAGAGAATTGGAAAGACTTGAGGATGGAGGAGGAGGAATGGGGACTACCACACTGAGGATTGAACTTGTTGCTTACATTTTTATTTTATTTTGTTTTTTTTAATTCAGCGTATCACCATATAACCCTGGCTAGCCTGGAACTCTATATAGGCCAGGCTGGCCGCAAACTCAGATGTCCACCTGTGTCTGCCTCCTAAGTGCTGGGATTAAAGGCATGCGCCACCACGCCTGGCTGTTGCGTAGTTCTTAATGTTTCCAATTTCATTTCTTTCCATTGATTAAAGTGTCTCCTTCCATTAGTCTAATGCAAGTGGCAAACTCCGAAAGAAGAAAAAGAAGCAGAAAAATAAGAAAAGCTGCACAGGAGAATCCTCGGTATGTTGTCACACTGACTGGTTCCTCTGCCTGAGCCTCACTGTTCCCTGCTGCTCCCTCAGGCTGGTTCTGGAGAAAGTTTTGTTTTGTTGAGCGCTTTGATTGCTTTCACTGAAGTGTAGCTGAGAGGTCAGGAGAACAAAAGGGAAAATCACTCACAGATCTTTCTCTGGCTTGTGCCCTTTGCTCTCTGGTTGTCAGACCCCACTCTTGGGTTCTGTGTTTTGAGATGAGTGTTTCTTCTAGATCTCTTCCCTGCTCAACTTACTTTCGTCTTATCCTGATGGCTTAAGCTCACCGTGAGTGTAGATGCCACTGTGGACCTGTTATCACATGGTCCGGCCCTGTTGCTGCCTCATGCCCCATGTCTTACTCTCAGTTCTGAAAAAAGCCAAAGCTCTGTTACTCTCCAGTGAAGGGTCATGACTCAGCTTACCCAGGGAGGGAAGCTCCTCTGGAGGACATAATGTGGTGTTTTAGCTTATGATTTCCAGGGCCCTCTGAGTCTGTGATTCCAGCTCTCCTGGCTTTCTCTAGTGAGACACGTCTCCTTTCTGATTGTATGTGCAGCATATGATCATGTCTTTTAGGAAGTAAGTCAATATAATCATTCTTTTTCAACATAAATGATTCTGTTGCTGATGGTTATAATATTGAAAGTAAAGTCAGAGCCAGGTATGGTGGTACGTGCCTAGAATCCTAGCAGTGAAAGTCACTGTAATGACTAACAGGTTATTCTGGCTTTTAGGAAAATGGGCTAGAAGATATTGATCGCATCTTAGAGAGGATTGAAGACAGCAGTGGGGTCAGCCACCCAGGCCCCCCTCCACTGAATTCCAGGAAGCACGTCCTCTATGTGGAACACAGGTACAGCCCTGCCCTCACTTCATGAGAGAAGAACAGTATTTGAAAAAAAGCAGAAGAAAATTGACCGTCTTTATTTCAGTCAGGCCTGGTGACAGACACACACTTGTAATCCCAGTCCCAGCACCTGGGACGTGGAGACAGGAGAACTAGGAGTTCAAGGCCAGCCTGGGCTGCATAAGATGAATGCAGAGAAGGGATTGTTCTGTATTTTTTGTGAAGTGGTAGGTGTAGGGACGCAGTGTAGTGGTAGAGTGTGCACCCAGCATATGAAATGCCCTGGGTCCCGTCCCTTGTGCCGCGAGCTCCACGTTCGATTCCTGCAAAAACAAAATGAAGCACTGTAGTGCCGGGTATGGTGGCTTATGCTGTAATTCTAGCACTCATTAGGTTGAGGCAGAAAGAGTGCCACAAGTTCAAGGACAGCCTGGGCTACAGAGTGAGACACTCTGCCTCAAAACAAATCAATCAAGTTTATTAAACATTTAAGAAATAATGCGGGCCGGGCGGTGGTGGCGCACGCCTTTAATCCCAGCACTCGGGAGGCAGAGCCAGGCGGATCTCTGTGAGTTCGAGGCCAGCCTGGACTACCAAGTGAGTCCCAGGAAAGGCGCAAAGCTACACAGAGAAACCCTGTCCCGAAAAACCAAAAAAAAAAAATAATAATAATAATGAGGAAGAAGAAACCCTCATCCATATTTCAGAGGACTTTTAGCTTTATATATCTTAGATTCTTGAACTGTGAGGAGCACCAGTTCACATTTGGATAAGTATCCATATGTTGGTTTTACAGATCATCAGTGAAATGTAACATAGTTCCTACCACAGAGGTGGTTGCCAGCTTTCTGTGAGTGGGTCTCACAGTGTGCTCAAGGCTGGCTGGGACTCCTGGTCCTCCTTTCTCAGCCTTCCAAGTACTGAGATTACAGGCATGCACCACCATGCCAAGTTCCCTATTATATCCTTATGTGAATTTATAAAAATTTAAACTTTATAAAAATTTAGAGTTATTGTAGAACATAATTTTTCTTTCTAAACTTTCTCCTCAGACACTTGAATCCAGATACAGAACTGAAAAGGTATTTTGGTGCTCGAGCGGTCCTGGGAGAACAAAGGTGAGGCCCTGGTCAGTCTGTGTTCAAGTTTTGTCAGTTTCTCTCAGACTCTAGAGGGAGACGGAGGCAGAAGGATTGCCATGAGTTCTTCCTAAGAGGAAAATATTTACATCCATAGTGAACAAGTAGAACTCTTAGCCTCATGCCTGAAACTGTTAAAAAGAAATGATTTGTGAAATCATCAGACTCCATGGAGCTGGGCTTTGTCCCTCACCCCTTCTCTAGGATGTACATAGTTTTTTTACAAAGATGCTAAAGACTTTGTGGTTCGAGGTCCCATTTTTGTTTTTCAATCAGCAACTAATGTAATCCAAAGCTGAGGTGATATGAGATGCTTGTCTGTGATGGTTTAGTAGTTCTTAGTATCTGGGCCACATGTCACAGGGATAGCATTGTAGGGTGTCCCAAGTGATTCCTAAAGGAAAAGGGTACAAGGGTCTACCTCTGGGAATTTTGTTAGGAAGCAATGTGTATTCTCTCTGCTTCTCCATCAGAATGTCTAGAAAGCTCTATCTTTGTTTGATTGTTCATGACAGGGTCCCTTCTGTGGCCCCAGACTTGAGTTCTCTATCCTTCAGCCTCAGCTTCTCAAGCGCACGCCTTTAATTGCAGCATTCAGGAGGCAGAGCCAGGCGGATCTCTGTGAGTTCAAGGCCAGCCTAGTCTACAGAGTGAGATCCAGGAAAGGCACCAAAGCTACACACAGAAATCCTATCTTCAAAAACCAAAAACCAAAAAAAAAAAAAAAAAATAGTGTTTCATGTATGAAAATGCACTCAGTATTTGCATGTATGAAAATGTATCATGTACATGGAGTACCTGAAGAAACCAGAGAGGGGGTCGGGTCTTCTGGAATTGGAGTTACATTCAGTTTGGAGCATACATGTGGGTGGTGGGAACCAAACCCAGGCCTTCTATAAAGGCAACAAGTGCTGTTAACATCTGAGCCATCTCTCCAGCCCCTAGCATTGGCTTTTTAAGTTTTGTGGTTGTTTGTTTTTGTTTTTGTTTTTTCTGATTGTAAAACAAGTGATTCTTATGAAAAAAAAAAAAAAATCAGTCATTTGGCCTTTGACTTTCATTCTCTTACCACATCCCCAGGTTAGCTTTGGTAATTGATTCTGTATTGCCGGGGCACATGCTAGCACTTGCTTTGTATGACCGTGAGAGGATTCTGCTGGTCACTGTACGGCCTGGCTTGCGTATCTGGTTTCCTAGGTTGTCGTTCTCCGTGCGATGACGCACAGGGTTGGGTACACTCCTGGCATTTGTGACACACAGAGCTGTCTGCTGCTGTGCCGCCCTCAGGAGTTATGCAGCTTAGATCCCCACTCCACCCAGGGTCAGCCTCTTCTCCTCACTGCAGACACAAGAGTTTTTGGAGTTTTGTCCCTACTTTGACTTCTTAGATTGTGACTAAGCCCACTGGTGTTTCCTTTGTTGTTCACTCCTACTTTCCTTGTGTTCCCTACGGGTTTGTTTGTTTGGGTGTTTTTGTTCCTTTGGTTTTTTTTTTTTTAGTACATAATGTTGCTCATTATGTAGTAAGAGCTGTCGTGGAACTTAGTGTATACACCAGGCTAGCCTGGAATTCAGAGAGATCCACCTGCTCCTGTTCCCCAGGTACTGGGATTAAAGGTGTGTACCACCATGACTGACTGACTTCTTTCTTTCTTTCTTTCTTTTTTTTCTTTTTCTTTTTTTTTTTTTTTTTTTTGATTTTTCGAGACAGGGTTTCTCTGTATAGCTTTGGAGCCTGTCCTGGAACTTACTCTGTAGCCCAGGCTGGCCTCGAACTCAAAGAGATCCGCCTGCCTCTGCCTCCCGAGTGCTGGGATTAAAGGCATGCACCACCACCGCCCGGTTTATTTCTTATTTTGTATTTTTAGTGTGTAATTTTTCTGACTTTTATGACTTCTTTTGGGAACACTGATGAAAAATATTCATACTTTAAATGTTCCCTTTTAGGGCTGGGATTATAGGCTCATTTGGTAGAGTGCTTGTCTAGCATGCTTGAAATCCTGGGTTTGATCCTCAACAACACATAACCCAGTCATGGTAAAACACAACTGTACTCCCAGCACTTGGGAGGAGGAGGCAAGAGGACCAGGAGTTCAAAGCTGCCCTAAGCCACATAGTGAATTTGAAACTAGCTTGGAATACATGAAGCTAGCCTGCCAATCAATCAATCAACCAACCAACCAACCAATCAATCAATTGTTCTCTCTTTTACTTGGACTGCCCTGGGCCAAGTTTTCTGTTTCATTGTATTAGTTACTTTTCTTGTTGCTGTGACAAACACCTGAGAGAAGAGACTTGAGGAAGAATTTATTGTGGCTCACAGTTTAGGGGGACACAGTCTGTCACAGGAAAGACATGGCGGCAGGAGTGGGAGGCAGAGGTCACGTGTGTCCACAGTCAGGAAGCAGAGAAGAGATCCCAGTGCTCAGAAGGTTTTCTTCCTTTTCACCCTTCATTGAGTTCAATATTCCAGCCCGTAGGTTGGTGCTGCTCACATTCAGGGTAAGGCTTTCTGTAAGTGCCCTCACAAACATACCCAGAGGTGTGTCTTAGTAATTGCAAATATTGTCAAAGTGACAGTAAGGTTTAACCTTCCTGCTCTCTCCCCACAACCCTGCTTTGTCTATCCGCCATTTCATTATGGTTTTTATGTCCTGTTTCTGTAAATTATAGTTACTGATACTGGTTAATAATTGTATTTATTTCAGTCTGTATAGTGCTAGGGTTAGACCCATAGCCTTACAAATGCTGAGTACACATTGAACTTCCCTCAATCCTGGTCTTAAACTACTGAACAGCTGAGACTATAGGCTATAGGCAGATACCACCATGACCCCAGTTCCTTTGTTACTTTTACGGTATTAGATTTATTTCTTTAAAACTGTTAAGTTGGGCCAGAGAGGTGGCTCAGAGAGTCACGTTGCCTGCTGCCCAGTTCAGTCCTAGAGACTAACATGATGGAAGGAGAAACCATTCACCTCAGTTGTCCTCCAGCCTTCACACTGAACCACGGCACATGTATGCCCTATGTGTGCATGAGTGTGAACACAAATACATGGGTCAATTTAAAAATGTGAAAAACAGGCTAGAGAGCTGACGTAGCAGTTCAGAGCACTTGTTGCTCTTTCAGAAGATCTGGTTCTATTCCCAGTACTCAATGGTAGCCCACAACCATCTGTAACTCCAGTTTCAGGGACTTTTAACACCTTTTTCCGACATCCTCGATACCAGGCATGCTCATAGTACACATACATACATGTATACAAAACATTCATATACATGAAACAAATATAAAAAAGCTTTTAAAGATAAAAGTTTGGTTTTTGGTTTGGTTTGGTTTTGGTTTTGGTTTTTCAAGTGTACCCCTGGCTGTCCTGAAACTAGCTGTAGACCAGGCTGGCCCCAACTCAGAGCTCCACCTGTCTCTGCCTCCCCAGTGCTGGGATTAAAGGCGTGCGCTATCACTGCCCAACTGGAACAAAAGATTTTTTAAAAACACATCCTTGGCTAGACTTGGTGGTGCTCACCTGTAGTGCCTGGCCTGAGGAAGCTGAAGCAGGGGGATTTCAAGTTCAAGGCCAGTCTAGACTACATGAAGAGACCCTGGGTGAAAATATAAAGACTCTGGTTTAAAAATAAAGTTATGTCTTACCTAAGATTTCTCCTAGAAGCTACAGTGTTTTCCTTTTCGTTCTCCACCCTTACCCTACGGCTTTGCGGCAAAGCCTGGAGCCTTGTCTTCTCCCAATGTGGTCACTGCTCTTTTGGGGACTTCAACTTCCTGCTGTGTCTGTCCAAAGCTCCTTCCCAAACCCCTCTGAATGTGCCCTCTACTCTGGGGGTCTGAGAACCTCAAGGTGTTCCTCTGGACCCTCCCTCTGCACCCTAAATTCCCCCCTCCAGGCTAAAGGCCCACTTCAGGGCTAGGCAGGATTGCCTTCCCAGATCCTGTAGGCTTGGGACAGTTCACTTGTCAGGTCCTACCAGGAACCATCTGTGGGTTAACTGCCTGTCTTCTTTTCCTTCAGATTTTGACTATTTCTCTAGTACACTTGGTTTCCTCCTTCAGTTATTTTATTTCTTTTTGAGAGGGAAAAAAAAAGCTTTTCTATCTTTTTTCTGAAAATACAACTTGTTACTCATTCTTTTCAAAGTAGCTGAAATTATCAAGGAAGCATAGAGAGTAACACATATCCACATGTGACTCACTCAGGTCAACCCAGCTCTCCCTCCTGGAAGCAAGAAGGCTCCTTTCTCCTCCCCTGCCATCTGTGCCCTCCTGGTCACCATCTGATCAGGATGTGGGAAGGTGGGGAGGTTTTTCTCCTATGATCCATACAAGATCTGTGTGAGGAGCCTGGCCTTCCTTCCCCTGCACACCTTCAGTGCTCCTCTGTCAGGCTAATGTTCTTCCACACATGTGCTCATGCCCTTCAGCGTTCTTCCTCATCGCTAGTGCTTCCTCTTCAGACTTGGCTGTGTTGATGTGTCAGTCAGCTGTCCCTCTCACTCCATTGCACTCAGCCATCACCAAGGGTTGCTTTTGTTCAGTCTGATGCACTAGGGCAGCCAGCTCATAGCTCATGTGTGTCAACAGAATACGATTATCAGGCCTGGCTTACTCTTTTTGTTTTTGGTTTTGGTTTTGGTTTTTTTTCTGAGACAGGGTTTCTCTGTGTAGCTTTGGAGCCTGTTCTGGAACTCTCTCTGTAGACCAGGTTGGCCTCAAACTCACAGAGATCCGCCTGGCTCTGCCTCCCGAGTGCTGGGATTAAAGGCGTACGCCACCACCACCCGGCTGGCCTATTTTTACTGTTTTATTTTAGGCTTTCATTTTTTTGGTTTCCTTATTCATGCTCCTGCCTTTTTGTGTAAGACAGGGTCTCATTATGTAGCCTTGACTGTCTGGGGCTCTCTGTGTAGACCAAGCTGGCCTCAAACTCACAGAGATCCACCTACATCTGCTTCTTGAGTGCTGGGATTAAAGCTGTGTGCCACCACACCTGTCCCCCTCTGCCTTTTTATTGGACTGTGTAAACTTTCTCTCTCTCTCTCTCTTTTGGGTTTTTTTTTTTCTGAGACAAGGTTTCTCTGTGTAGCTTTGTGCCTTTCCTGGAACTCACTCTGTAGACCAGGCTGGCCTCGAACTCACAGAGATCCACCTGGCTCTGCCTCCCGAGTGCTGGGATTAAAGGCGTGCGCCACCACCGCCTGGCTAAGCTTTCTCTTTTAATTTGTTGTTGCTGTGGATGAACCTAGAGCCTCATATGTGCTGGGCAAGTTCTCAGAGCTTTACCTCCAGCCTGAATTCGTTTTTCTGTTTCTGTGGTTATGTAATGGTGGCTACTCTGTTGCTAATGCCGTGTTCCATCCACCCTTGCCCACTGGCCACTCTACTCAACTTCTTTTCCATGTATCTTCCCTGCCTGCATCTTGAGTTTCACAGTTCCCATGGAGATTAGGCAGACCATCCTGGTCCCTGTCCACTATGGAAAGTAAAACTGTACTGCGTTCTGTTTCTCCAGGCCTCGACAAAGACAGCGTGTATATCCCAAGTGTACATGGCTGACAACCCCTAAAAGCACTTGGCCCCGATACAGCAAACCAGGTGAGGCCCTGCTGGGTTTTGGGCAGTGACTTAGATCCGGTACTAATACTCTTGGTTCTCTTGGGCAGTCATATTTACTTTAAATTGTTGCGGTTTTCTGTTTCATAGCAAGCTACCAAATATGCATAATTTAAAGAAAGAGGGCAAGGCAGGCGGCAGTGGCGCACACCTTTAATCCCAGCACTCGGGAGGCAGAGCCAGGTGGATCTCTGTGAGTTCGAGGCCAGCCTGGTCGACAGAGTGAGATCCAGGGCATGCTCCAAAACTGCACAGAGAAACCCTGTCTCTAAAAAAAAAAAGAAAGAAAGAAAGAAAGAAAAAAAAAAGAGCAGCAGTACAGAGAGGCAAGCGGGCATGATGGAAATGTCCAGAGACCTTTTCCATGTCTCGATCGACAGGCATGAGAGCCCCTCAGAGGGTTAGGGTGTGTAGCTGTACTGGTGATAGTGATGTAACAGGCCTGCCTCTCCCCACCAGTCCTGGTTCTTCTGTGCGGGTGAAGACCTGTATGGGAGCTCTGGGCCTGTGCACTGGTGCCTAACAGTATCTTTTGTCCCTGCCAGGCCTCTTGCCTTGTCAACAAGGACACCTACACATGTAGGCAAGCTTGTTGACTGGTCCTGCTAGACTCTGGCCTTAGATAGAACTATTTTAGGAGGGGAACTTAGAGACCAAGAATTACTGTCCTATTTAATGAAAATTTACCAAAGAGAAATTTCCCTGTACACTCAACATTGTACATAAGGAACAGAGAAAAAGCATCTAGTTATAACTCACCATCACCTGTAGGACCTGGGGTAGTGCTCACTGCATAGCCACTTTGGATGCTAATCCCCCAAACCTGGGCGTGGTGTTCCCACCAGGCAGATACAGTGCTGTAGTCTCTAGTATTGCTTCTAGCCAGCAATAGTGACCTGGCACATTTCCCTCCTGTGGGTACTCTGGGTGGGTCTAAGGAAGCAAAACAGACAGGACTCTAGGTCTTGATATAGCTCCTGCAGTGTGAGCAGGCCTACGCACTCCGCAAGAGCTCTTGGCAGAGATCATCTTACAGCCTGTAGAGCACCAGAACTGGCAACGTGCACCAGACACTCAGTTTGAGTTGAGTTCATGTGGCATATTTGTGCCAGGAACAACAGGAGGTCTGTGACTGCCTAGCGCTGCAGAGTCCTGCAAAGTGTCCCAGCCTGGCCCCCAGCACACCCTCCCTGAGCAATATTCATTTCTTTAGGTCTGTCAATGCGGCTGCTGGAATCCAAGAAAGGCCTTTCTTTCTTTGCATTTGAGCACAATGAGGAGTACCAGCAAGCACAGCACAAGTTCCTGGTGGCTGTGGAGTCCATGGAGCCAAACAACATTGTGGTGCGTAACCGTGCAGCTCCCGGTGGGCAGAGATCAAGCGGTGTATGCCTGTGTGCAGAGCAGTCAGACCCTGTGTACAGAGGAAGTGTGCTTGGCTCCTCAGAGGAGAGCCACACTCTGCCCTCAGTTCCCTTCTGCAGACTGTGTGCAGGGCATTGTGGGGTCTTTTCCCGGCTGTCTTTGCCTTTAGCTTAGGTGATACAGCAGTGGGTATGCGTGGCTCCCTTCTTCAGGTAGCCTGTGCCTTTTGTGCTCCCGCAGCCTGTGTTCTGAGTACCCTGCCAGCCCCAAGTGTGGGCCACAGTTTGCAATCACTGAGGACAAAGAGGAGCTTATCCTTTGTGCCTTTGTATACCTGACCCCTGAATGATGTCACATTCCTTTGAGGAGAAGAAAAATGCTAGTTTCCGGGCCTGGAGAGATGGCTCAGTGGTTAAGAGCACTGGCTGTTCTTCCAGAGGTCCTGAGTTCAATTCCCAGCAACCACATGGTGGCTCACAGCCATCTGTAATGAGATCTGGTGCCCTCTTCTGGCATGCAGGCAGAACACTGTATACATAATAAGTAAATCTTTAAAAAAAAAAAAAAAGTTAGAAAAATAATTTCCATGCTCTTGGTTAGGGCATAGAGAGCTAATTAGGCCAGTTTCTGAGTTCCCACCTTCAACTAGATCAGTGGTTCAGCTGAGCCACAACATCATATACCTTGAGTTAAAAGTAGACTATGAGCCAGGCATGGTGGTATACTCCTTTAATTCCAGCACTTGGGAGGCAGAAGCCTCTGAGTTAGAGGGCAGCCTGGTCTACATAGTTAATTCCAGGCCAGCCAAGAATACATAGTGCAACCCTCTCTCTCAAAAAAAAGAAAAGCTAGGGCTGGAGAGATGGCTGAGTGGTTAAGAGCATCTGCTGCTCTTCCAGAGGTCCTGAGTTCAATTCCCAGCAACCACATGGTGGTTCACTACCATCTATTGAGGGATATGATGCCCTCTTCTGTCATAAAGCTGTACATGCAGACAAAGCACTGTAACATAAAATAAATAAATAAAGCTTTAGGGGGAAAAAAAAGACTGAAAACAAACAAAAAAACCTATGACTATTTCATTTTTGATCATTTTTCCTAGCATGGGGCATGGCCTGGTGCCAAGGGTTCTACCTGCAGTTTTTCTCTAAAATTACCTTCCTTTCCAACAGGTTCTGCTCCAGACAAGTCCCTATCATGTTGACTCACTTCTGCAGCTCAGTGACGCCTGCCGCTTTCAGGAGGATCAAGAGATGGCTCGAGACCTTATAGGTGAGCCAGCTTACCTGCACCTGCCGCTCGAGCCCCTCCAGCTCCCAGGCAAATGCTACTTCATGAGATGACAGAGGATGCTTCATGGAGATAGATAGAATCCACCTGGGCAGAACGTGCAGTTGATTGTATCTAGTGCACGCCACTTGTGTAGCCCTTACCACCCTCTGTATCTGTCAGTTGTAAAGCGCTTTGGTCTGTGTAAGCAGTTCTGTCCTTCAGTCCTGGGAACTGCTAGTGTCCTTTGTCTGCAGTTGCGCTTGAAGCGTAGAGTTCGTGCAAACGTGTGGCCTTTGTGTTTGGCTTCTTTCATTTACCATCTTGGTTATCCCTGTTGGAGCATGTATCATACTTGCACATTGTTTGTGCTATATAATACTCCATCTGTGTGTAGACTGTATTTTCTGTACCTGTCATCAGCTGATGGACACTTAGGTTGTTTTCTTGCTATTGGAAATGGTGCTGCTGTGAAGACACCTGTGCAGATTTCGTGAGGATGCATGTTGGTGTACACGCGTGGGTACTTGGTGTTAGCAGATCACAGCACCAGTTGTAATCTGGTATATGAAGCATTTCCCTCTGGAACTTACAAATGTATGTTGCAGTAAACTTAGAGTCATTGACGAATACCTGGGAAGTCCTGTGTGTGCCCTCTCTCTTTCAGGGTCCCAGTTACATGACCTCCCTCCTTCCAGAGCGTTCCTTGTTTTGAGTTGTTAGAGGAGAGAGTTACAGTCATTGTGTCTGTGACGCCCTCCTCTGGTGTTTGTGGCCCACAGAGAGAGCACTGTACAGCATGGAGTGTGCATTCCATCCCCTGTTCAGCCTCACCAGTGGGACTTGCAGGCTGGATTACCGCAGACCTGAGAACAGGTGAGTTTGGTCCACCCTAGAGTGAGTAATGGGCTCCTTTCAAGTCACGTGAGTGGCTGTTGTGAGTTTCGTGGGGAACGGGTGATGCATGACTGTCCCTAAGGATGGATCAGGGTCCTGAAGATCCAGAGTACCTGTAAGTAAGCTTTGGTGTGCTCACAGCAGAGGGCTGCGCTCAGGGAACCAGGCATCAGATTGGTCCAAAATTAAACCTATTCAGGTTATAACTGTTCTGACAAGCCACAGAACAGTGAGAGCTGGAATCATGCTTCCCATGTTTTTGGAGGAAGAGACCCATTCCCAGTGAGGTTAAACTATTGTAGCATGCTTTGCAGTTGTGTCTCCTGATTCTTAAATCTGACATGAGCATGGATTCAGCTTGACTTCAGGAATCATGCAGAGAGTACTCTCTTTTCCATGTTTCTCTAAGCCCGCCCACCCTCTGGTTTTAGCCCGTGTGTGTCCCCCTTCCTCCCTCACAGGTAGCACTCTACTTTCTGGATATCCCTGTCTGCCGCAGCAGGAAGTCCCCCACCTTAGCCACAGCCATTGTCTGCACTCCAGCACAGTGTTGGGTTCCTGTGTATTGCTTTTGTCTCTTCTAGTTAAACTCTTACTTCTTTAAACAGGTTCTAAAATTAAGTCACCAAGATGACTAAAGCTGTCCAGCTTTATCCATCCAGGTGTAATGCTATGACAACTGTTAAAATCTGAGCATAAGTTAAGAGTATGATTATATAGGTTCTAATTCTCTTCCTTTAAATGGTAATCAGAAAACAACTAGCAAGAAGACAGGTTTTGCCAGGTATGGTGGCACATGCCTGTAGTCACAGCACTGAGAAGTAGGAATCAGTTGAGGTCATCTCTGATTACATAGTGATTTGATGCAAGCCTGGGCTACATAAGATCTCCTCTTAAGGAAGCAAAAAAGAAAAGGAAGAAAAGAGAGGTTTCACAAACACTTGATTGTAGCCTAGCATAGTGGCACCCGTGAACAGACTTGGCATTCTGAAGTAGGAAGATCTCTTGAGCCAGTTTGTTCAAGGTCAGACTTGGCAGCATAGTCAGACCATGTCTCAAAACCAGAAAAGCTTGATTTTCGTGTCTAAGTACATTTATAACTAAATAACAAGGAGCACGCATTTCCTCCAGACACACAGGGGCTGTTCACAAACACTATGTCTAGCCACTTAGGAAATGCTGTCTCAACCCAGAGGGCGGACACAGTGCTGGGCCTCTCACTTGTCATGCTCTGCTGCCTTTCTGTCACTAATTCATGGATAACTGTCTTCGATCTAGGAGCTTCTACCTGGCCCTCTACAAGCAGATGAGTTTCTTGGAGAAGCGAGGATGCCCACGTACTGCACTGGAGTACTGCAAGCTCATCCTGAGGTGAGTATTCACTTTGACTGCATGGCCACCTGACCTCACCACAGTGGCCCCAAATCTGTGGGGACTCGAGCCATGACCACACTCCCTCTGTCTCTCTTGTCTCTACTTACTGTGCTGCCTCGGAAGCCTTGAGCCAGATGAGGACCCCCTGTGCATGCTGCTGCTTATTGACCACCTGGCCTTACGGGCCCGGAACTATGAGTACCTGATCCGCCTCTTCCAGGAGTGGGAGGTATGTGGAAGCCGTGTGTTGTGACCTGCAGCTGCAGCTGTGTGTCTCCCTTACCTGGCTCAGCTACACCTCTGTGTTTGAGGGACAGTTTTGTGATACGATGGTGAAGGCATGAGTCAGCGCAGGTAGATCCCCAGGGCCTCCTGCTTTTCTGGCTTCCTCATTACCTCTGCTGAACAATTACGGTCTTCCTAGATGGTGTCCCAGCAGCCTTTCGAGAACCCCTGTTCACAGGCCTGCACCAAGTACGTATGCACAAACAGTGGTGCTAGCAGTGATGAAAAGTTGGGAAAACCCCAGAACTCACTGTGGTCCACTTAAGAGGCAATCATGAGGCAGAGCACCATATAGGTTGACACGGGGAACCTCCGCATACAGAACCACATTCTGCAGAAATGCTGCAGAGACAGCATAAACCAGTCCCTTGTGCCTTGCCAGATTTGCATGTAAATAAAACTGAAGACATGATGGCCTGACACCACACTGCTAGCCTCTGGCCCAGCTGCTGTGAATGCCAAGTATACCTTGGGTGCCCGACATCACCAGAAAAGAACATAACTGTCTGTCCATGACTGTGGACATGTGTCAAAGTGACAATTCCAGTTTATCGAGTTTACTACCGTGCTTTAAGATCAGTTCTGCTGTTCTCCATAATGCGACTGCTAGACACTTTAAAGAGTACAGGACTCCCATCCCATCCCATGGTTGGTTCTTGTCAGAGAAGAGAGGCATTGGGTTTTGTGCTGGTTGCTTCCACCAGGGCCTATTAAGGGATAAATCATGTTACAGAATGTTTGGTATAGTTGGCCAGGAAGTTTTGCTTGTTGGGATCTGATTTGTGGACTCCCTGGAGCTCATGAAAGCATGGCTACAGGAAATGACAAAGGGCAGCAGGTAAGTGATCATTATGGCTTATGTAGTTGTAGAATAAAAAAGCAGGGCATAGGGATTTGTGATGTAACCCCAGTTATTGTAGGGGTCAGGGCAGGGGCAGGTGCATTGGCTAGCTAGCTAGACAGACTGGTGCTCTTAGGTGTGGTGAGAGACCTATCTCAGAACATAAAGGTCGAGAAGCAGAGAGACAGCCTCACAGGTAAAGCACTTGAGACCAAGCCTGATGACCTAAGCATGGTCCTTAGAACCACATAGTGGAAGGAAAGAACTGACTTCTGCAAGTTGTCTTCTGGCCTCTACATGTGCTGTGGTATGCATGTATTTGTACACGTGCACACTAAATAAATAGATGAATGATTTTTAAAAAGCTAAGAAGTGAAATAAATTTGGAGAATAATTGAGGAAAGACACTCAATATCGACCTCCAGCCTCTGCACTCATGTATCTTTGTGCACCACCATACATACCTGATGGAGAAGACGTAGAACAAGTCACTAGCCTTCTCACGAACCATAGAGAAAGAAAGGAAGTCACTGGAAAACACTTCGAGGTTAGGTGGAGTCAGACCTCACTTTTGATGACTTACTTTATAAGCTTTCTGCATAGGCAAGAAGGCTGGCTTCCCTGCTTCCAGAGCTGAGAGTCTAGGCAGGGGACACCCATCCTGAGGCCCCCGCCTGCTGCTCTAGCATCAGTCATCTGATTGGGCTGATTCCTATCCTTCTGTGTCCTCTTGTGTTTCCTACATGTAGAGAATGGGTTTTCTTCATTCTGAGTTAAGGTGAGAGGCCCACAAGGAACAGTTGTGGGGCTCACCTGGTATCCACCGCACACTTGTACACTATGCGTTTTGTCTTCACAAGCTTAAGGCCACAGACTTCATTTCTTCGTCCCTTATAGGCTCATCGGAACCTATCCCAGCTCCCAAATTTTGCCTTCTCAGTTCCATTGGCATATTTCCTTCTGAGTCAGCAAACAGACTTACCTGAGCATGAGCTCACCTCTGCCAGGCAACAGGCTTCCCTCCTGATACAGCAGGCGCTCACTATGTTCCCTGGAGGTAAGTGCCACCTCTTGTCTGGGGATTGAGTCTAGGTCACAGCCCTCGCCATACTTCATGGAAAGATTGCCTTCCTTTAAAGGCCTAAAGACTTGCTGTAGTTCTAGTTAGAAAGCTAGTCTACCCACTTCAATGAGCCTACTACAAGTTTGGAGAGGGTGGGGAAGAGAGAGGGGCAAATGTCTTCCCTGAGGTTTAGTTTCGGGATGGGAGAGCAGGGCATTTTCCAGAACATGAAGTATGTTAGATAGTCTTTGGTACTAGAGGGAAAAAAGCAGACGTAGTATCTAGAAGGGCCTAAGGCTAGCCCAGAGGCAGCTTGAAGGGCACTGGTTGTGAGTAACCAGGAAGAGGCCCTGGTCTGCTGCCCAGGCATTCTCACAGATGTGGCCAGGAGAGTAAGGTGATTACCTGCCCAGATCTTTCCTGGGAGTGTCCTCAGAGTGAAACTGACAAGATTTCTGTGGGGCCGACTTCTTTTCTACTAGAAAGTCCCAGAATTGGTACCACATTGTAGACTCTGAGTTCCTTGAGCCTTGGCCAGAACTCTGCCTACCAACCAGACCTGAGCAACCTCAGGCAGAAATAGTGCCTATTTGCTAACCCAGTGAGGGTCACTTCCATTACTTAGAAGCTGCTTATGCCTTCTGTGGTCTGATGTAGCTAGTGTTACCTCCTCACAGGATGCTGCAGTATGAGCATGTCCCCAGGAAGTCACTGGGAGGACTTTGTTGGTAGATTACCAGCATGCAAGCTGTTTAGAGAAGCTAGCACTTCGGTGAATAGCACTACATGCAAGGGAGCCCTGTGCTGGCCACTGATCTGCTCCTGGTCCCTGCGGAGTTAGCTCTTGCAGGGCACAGTCAGCCCCACTCTCATGTCTGACCTTCATATGATCAGAGCATCCAGCCACCCATGCTTGGAGGGGATAGGCAAGTCTTCCTTGGATGCAAATGGGACAAGAGGCAGCAGGATATGCATGGACTTCCCCAGGGTTCAGAGGTATCTTGGCATCTAGTGTGAGAGACCCAGCTTAGGAACAAATTGGTAATGGTAGTCAGAAATGGCCCCTTGGCTATCCAGCTTCCTTTACCTTAAAAATACTTAGTGGCTGGGAGCCAGTACAATAAGGACTGCAGAATACATGGAGCCTTTACCCTTTTTTTTTTTTTTTTTCAGCTCTTATGCCATTGCTGGAGTATTGCAGTGTGCGGCCTGATGCAACAGTCTCAGATCACCGCTTCTTTGGGCCAGATGCTGAGATAAGGTAATGATGTGAGCCTGTAGGCACTGTTCCCCTCACCCTTAAAGGAAGAGCGGAGCCTGTCCTGGGGGACCCTATGCAGCTGAGGAAGCCCCTAGAGCCCACATCCATGTGCACGACATCTCACCTCTGTGGGGCAGGTGAGCAGCCTCTAGTCTAAAAAATGGGGTTCGCTCATGATCTTTGCTGTCATTAATTTTCTCCAGATTTCTGTATTGTCGCATTTCTCATAGACCAGAAAAAAGAGCAATATATATCATATCATGGCCCCCACCCTTCCTACAGACTCGTAATCAGCAGCTGAGGGCCATCCTTTGGTGCTGTTCCACAAAGGAAAACATACTCATTCTGGTGTTTTTCACATTTCTGTCAAGTGGTCAGTATTACTAAACTCAGACAACAAGGAGTGTGCTCTACCCTTCAGGAATACCCAACCCTCCGAAGGTGGAATATCCCTGGTCAGCGGCTGAGGGGTAACCTCCTTTAGTCCAAGGCACTAGGCTTTTCCTGGATTTCCCTTTGCCCACCATGGAGCTCTGCCAAAGGTCTGGTTTCCTTGCTCTTCCACAGCCAGCCCCCTGCCCTGAGCCAGCTGGTGAGTCTGTACCTTGGGAGGTCACACTTTCTTTGGAAAGAACCCGCCATTATGAGCTGGCTGGAGGAAAACGTCCGTGAGGTTCTGCAAGCAGTGGATGCTGGGGACCCTGCTGTGGAGGCCTGTGAGAATAGGTGAGCTGAGCCTGACAGATATGTCAGAGAACCTAACTTAGGGAGGGCACCTGCTGGCATGAGTCCTTTGTGTGTCTCCTCCTGGGTCTTTCTCACAGACATAGGGCCTCTGATTTCAGCTTGACTTTGAAGGAGCTACCAGGAGGTCCTGGGCATGGCTACTGCACAGAGATGTGAAGGGGTGTGTGGTTTTGTTTAGTTTGTTTCTGCTTTTGTCCTGTGTTTCCATGCTTGCTATCAGGATTGCTTTTCTTACCCTTCTTGACAAAGATTGGAGCCGAAAGGTCACCAGAATAGCTTGCTGACCTCCTTTCTACATGTGGGGTTCCTGGAACATAGAACCTGTTACGCTGCATTTAAGAAGCAGCCCCTTTGCCCATTTGTGCCGTTTGCTCATGGTCCTCATCAGCATCCTGGCTCTGTCATCTCCCTGAGCCATGGAATCAGGAGGTCCAGTGGTAGACATGAGGCTATATTCTAGACTGTCTGAGGACCAGTGGTAGACATGAGGCTAAATTCTAGACTGTCTGAGGACCAGTGGTAGACATGAGGCTAAATTCTAGACTGTCTGAGGACCAGTGGTAGACATGAGGCTAAATTCTAGACTGTCTGAGGACCAGTGGCAGACATGAGGCTAAATTCTAGACTGTCTGAGGACTGGGGTGGAGGAAGAACTGTTGCTTCCAGGCCCCCCCCCCCCCCCCCCCCCCCCCCCCCCCCCCCCAGTCTTAGAACTGCTGTCGGCTGCATACGTCTCCCTGTGCTGCTGCTCAGCTCTGCCCAGCAGGCGGCAGGCCCCGTACAGTAGCAGTAACAATGACACACCCAGGGATTCTGTTGTGGACACTTCTTTAGTGTCTCACCAGAGTACCCACAGCCGTCCTCCTTTTCATCCCACGGATGAAGGGACCAAATTGCAGACCGATCTAGTAGACTTTGCTTTCAGAGTCTACTCTGCCACAGGGCTAGTAGCACAGCTTCCCCCCAAGAATGAGAGATGGGAGGTTTTACCACAAGTGGAACAAGCCAGTCCTTGCTGGATCTTTCCCAAGGTGGGTATGGTTGACTTGGTGTTTTATACCAGTTTATCAGTCTATCTGCCATTGTCTACTCTGGCCTCAGGCGGAAGGTGCTGTACCAGCGTGCACCCAGAAACATCCACCGCCATGTGATACTCTCTGAGATCAAGGAGGCTGTTGCTGCCCTACCCTCGGTAAGAGAAGAATACTGAAAATGGGGTCTTTGTGTGTGCCAGTCACAGTGTAGCTACCTACAAATTGGCCTGCGTGCCAGGCAGAGCTGGAACTGGTGCAGAGGGCTCTTCCCCTCAGGCAGCTCCTCTGGGCCTTCCTCACTGTATTGTTGCGTTAGTGAGCTCTTCCACCAGGGTGTCCTACTCTCCGTGATGGAGACCTAGCCCTTCCTCACAGACCTCACACCCCGCAGCAATACTTCACATAGCTGTGCCTGCTGTGTTTTCTGTTTGCACTCTCGGGGGTGGGCCAAGGCTGCGTCAGCTAGTGAACCAGCAGATATGTCATACATATCCCCCTGACTATCCTCTGGGAGAGACTATTCCACTTAGACCCAAAGTTTCTTGGAACAGAAACAGCACTTCTGCCAGATGGAGTGAATGGCTGCCTCCTGGCAGATGGGTCAGGTCTCAACAGCTGAAACTTGGGAAGGCAGAGGCTGCCAGCAGTGCTCCAGAATCTTTGTTTTTGTCTCCTCCTAAAGGATGTGACCACACAGTCTGTGATGGGGTTTGATCCTCTGCCTCCCCTGGACACCATCTACTCTTACGTCCGACCAGAAAGGTACCATCCCTGCTTTGTTCTCATACCCACACCCCCTCGTTGGTCCTTTGGGGCTCGCTGCAGCTGTCCTTGCAGATTAGAAGGAAAAGGGCAAGCACAGGCTAGCAGGGCCAGTCCACTCAGGAACAGGGGACACACAGTGTAACATGAAACGTCCTCTGAATCCACCAAAGGTCTGAGCACCTCCCTATAGGTTTATAGCAGGTGTGAGAAGTACAGTGGGAAGCAGATAAGGAGCCACCCCTGACCTGGTGCACTGTACAACAGACACCAGACTTAGAACCTAGAGAGACATTGGGTCAAATCTACTTACGAACCTGTGGGAGAAATGCCTACGAAGAAGGTTATGCCAGACCAGGAAGTGACAGTCACCTGCTTTGTAGAAAGATATGGCCCAACCAGACAAAGGATGGCAGCTGGTACTCTAGCATGTGCAAAAGCCCCCTTCCAAGAGCAGAGTGTAAGGTCCGGTGAGCACTGAAGGAAGGCCCATGTGTCCGAGCCTGGAGAATGGGGTTATGGGCCAAGCATTAATATGGAACAGGCCTGAGTCCCAGGCTGTCTTGTGTATTTGGGCAGTTGGTAGAGACTGGCCATGAAAGAGCTCATTTCCCTTCCCTCCTTCCCTTGACAACTGCCTTACCTGGGTCTATTGCCCCACAGTCCATTCCAAGCAAGGAACACCAGGCCACCTAGACCCTGGCAAAACATGTTGAGTAGAATGACTCTCATTTAAGGATTTAGATTAAGATGAGACTTTCCAATGGATTCAGAAATATCTTGACAGGCTGGCATAGCGAGCTATCATAGCGTTCTGCTGTGCTCTTGGTGTCCCCAGAGTGGACGTGTGATGATGCTGTGCAGTAGAGCTGTGCTGCATCCCCTGAGATGCCCTGACCTTTACTGCCTGCCTTTGTGACTGCCAACGCCGTCCCCAGCCTTCAAATGCTAGTCACCTTGTCTTCTTTCCATGTGACCCAGCAGGCTAGGTCCCTAAAGAGCCAGCACTCTGGGACTGGTTACCTCTCCTTTCTTGTTGCTCTTGGGTGTCCACAGCTCCACCCCAGGCTGGTTAGTAGTCATCACTGCCCACCCCAGATCCTGATGTGCAGTTTAGGACCCAGAGCCTTAGCTCCACTTAGAGGCTGCCTCTTCCTAGCCGTAGGAGACTGGATAAGAACAGCTGGCAAAGGGCTGGGACCCCACAGTGTCTGCTGACCTTCTTTTTCTTAACTTGTTTTCATTTTCAGGCTGAGTCCAGTCAGCCATGGAAACACAATCGCCCTCTTCTTCCGATCATTATTGCCAAATTACACCACAGAGGTATGTTGATTGAACACATTGGTCTTTCCCTCCCAAGTTGCTATGGGCAAGTCCGGCTCAGGGTGGAGGCAGGAATGGCTGAGACTGTGCCTGCCTGTGGTGCCATGTTTAGGAAGTGGGGACTTGGCCTGCTGAACTTGCAGTAGCTATTTCAAGGTGAGTAAGTAGTGTGAGGCTGAGAGACGGCTCAACATCGCGGTAGGTTGGCCATGGTTAAACATGTGCATTGGCTTTTTAGAGCTTTTTCTTCTGGGCAGGGACCTTGGGAGGGGACAGGCCCAATCCTGGAGCTTGGGCTGCCTCAGACTGCTAAACCCCAGGTCTCAAATCTGCACAGACAGCCCCCACTTAGATATGTCTCATTGTTCAGGGGGAGAGGCTGGAGGAAGGAGTGGCCGGGGGTCCGAACCGCAATCAAGGCTTGAACAGGCTGATGTTGGCCGTACGTGACATGATGGCCAACTTCCACTTCAACGACCTGGAGGTGCCTCGGGAGGACAATCCTGAGGGCGAGGGGGACTGGGACTGACTGTCCAGATGCTGTGCCCAGAGCTGTGCAATTATGTTCCTGATTCTTTCCTGGTTGGAATTAACCAGTTCCCTGAAGTAGAAATGCTGACCATGTCATCCACCCGTGTCTTTTGTTTTCCCTCTAAATGTGAGTGGGGTATGCTCTGCTGTGAGTGAGCTTTTCCTCCAGTGCCCTCAAAAATAGTCCAGGAGCAGTGAGCCCCACACCATATACACCCTGCCATGTACCTTACACTTTCAGAATTTCTAACATAATGCAGAGAAAGGGGTTTTCCTGGAGTCTTCAGTGCGAGGACCCCACATGCTCCTTGCTAGGGGGCACTGAACCTTCCACAATGCTGCACCCAGCATCTTTGCAGTGGTGGGGATCAAACCCAGGGCCTGGCACATGACCTACCATTGCGTGATAGTCCCAGCCTAGGAATTGTATTAGTAACCTTGGAGGGCTGGAGGTGTGTCTCAGATGGTAGACTGCTTGTTAGCATGCACAAAGCCCAGGATTCGATCCCCAGCACAACACAAACCAGGTGTGGTAGTGTTCATCTGTAATCTCAGTACTCAAGAGGTAGAAAGAGGGACAAGGGGATTAGAAGTTAAAGATCACCCTCTGCTGTATAGTGAGCTCAAAGCCAGCCTTAGTTATGTGAGACCCCAGCTCAAAAGAGGGGGTTGGGGCATGCGGTGCCCAGAACTGAAAGAAAAGCCAAGAAGCAACTTTAAGGCAGAAAATTCAAGGATTCTTTGCAGAGGTTAAAGGGTGTTTGATCTAGGGATGAGTGGGGAGCCCTGACCAAGAACCCCAGTCCAGTGTCGGGAACAGAGGCACAGCCAGGCAAGGCCGGTCTGTGTCTCATAAGCTGTCTGATTGTGGAAAGGTCCAGGCTACTGAGATGTTATAAGCTGTGTCAGGTATCTCTCGGGCAGCCCTGCCCATCTGTGTCTGTACAGAGACTGGGGGAGGTACTGCCGTGGGCTCTAGTCTGAGAGATGGCTGGTGAAGCCCCCCTAAGTCTTGGTCCATTGATTGCTTCCTGGGAGTTCAGACGGCACTGGATCCATGGTATGGACGAAGTACAAGTAAAGCATGCTTCAGGAATGTCCTGAGGGCCATAAATGGCTCAGTGAGTAAAGGTACTCGCTTCCAAGCCTGATAACCCGAGTTCAATCCCCAGGACCCATACGGTGGATGGAGAGAGCTGACTCCTGCAGGTTGTCCTCTGACCTCCACACATACATTGTGGCATGTGCACACCTATACAAACACCAAAAAAATGGAAAAGGGGCAGCTTGGTGGCTAAAAGTACTTACTGTGCTTGGTGCTTTTGCAGAGGACGAGGGTTTGATTTTAAGCACCCATGGCGGGTAGCTCACAACCACCGTAATTCCAGCCCCAGCATACAAACATATACATGATGTGGCTGAGCAGTGGCCCAGGTCACTGTCCCCTCAACAGGACATTAAGGGCTGACTTGTACCCATCTATAGTCAGCCTAAATGTCACAGCCCATTTCTAAGTTAGCCATCTTTAGGGGGGCTCTGTGTTCAATATATGTGCCTGGTGAAAGATCACGTGTCACATGAATTGGTGCTGAGTCTCTGTTTTTTCTCCAGCATGAATTGGCAAGGCCATGAAGTCTGGATACAGGTTCTACTACTTGTGCTCATGGGTCAGCAGGGGCCTGGGGAGGGCAGGCCTGAGGGGCATAGCTCCCATCAGTTGCCTTACCTACTCCTGGGTTTGGTGGGAGATCTGCACCCAGTCCCAGGGAGGGGTACTGTTGAGATGGTCCTAATTCACTGTCTGAATCCCAGGTTCCAGGTTGGAGTGGCCTGTGGTGAGTTTCAGCTAAAGGGAGGAGGGATTGGCTAGGAATGGGTTTGTTTGCTGGAAATGATAAGCAAGCACAGAAAACCTGGCATCCTGCCTCTTCCTTTCAGCAGCTGTAAGTCCATCCAGATGAGGATGTGATATCTGGAGCTGCAGCAGCTATTCTACAACCACGAGGCAATGAACTCCAAAATGAAGAGCCAGTGTACTAGGAACAGTGAAGCAGAGGATGCCCTAGGCCTTCGGGGGACTTCCCACCTCCAGGCCTGTATCCTGAGAGGCCATTAAATGATTGGCTTCAGAAGTGTTGCTCAGACTTAAGTAATTTTCAACTGAATACATTTCTAATGGTGATAAATAAAAACCAGTCACTCACGTCATCTGTGGATCATCAGGAAAAGTAACTTTTTGAGACAGCGTCTCAATGTGTAGCCCTTGATGGCCTGGAACTTGCTATGTAGACCAGGCTGGCCTCAGAGATCCGCCTGCCTCTGCCTCCCAAATGTTAGAATTAAAAGCGTGCACCACCGCACCTAATCTGCATGTCATCTAAACAACTTTAAAGTCTGGCCTGCCACCCTGGTTGAGGTGATAGTGCATCCCGCTCCTCCCTGGACCCTCAATCTCAGCAAGAGGTGTCTGCTTATGTGCTCTGTGCAGAACTGTTGGATGCCTGCTTGTGTGCTCTGTGCAGAACTGTTGGGTGCCTGCTTGTGTGCTCCTGTGCAGAACTGTTGGGTGCCTGCTTGTGTGCTCCTGTGCAGAACTGTTGGATGCCTGCTTGTGTGCTCCTGTGCAGAACTGTTGGGTGCCTGCTTGTGTGCTCTGTGCAGAACTGTTGGGTGCCTGCTTGTGTGCTCCTGTGCAGAACTGTTGGGTGCCTGCTTGTGTGCTCCTGTGCAGAACTGTTGGGTGCCTGCTTGTGTGCTCCTGTGCAGAACTGTTGGGTGCCTGCTTGTGTGCTCCTGTGTAGAACTGTTGGGTGCCTGCTTGTGTGCTCTGTGCAGAGTTGTTGATTACTTGAGCATTTTCATGTAGTCAGGGAGAAAACCTGTTAGCTGCCTCCAGAGAAAGTGCAGAGGAAATGAATGACTTTCAGATGAAGACATGGTAACATAGCCTTTTTTTTATTTTATTATGTGTATGGGTGTTTTGCCTGAATGTGTGTCTGTGCGCCATGTACATGAGGTGCCCACAGAAACCAGAAAGGGATATACAGAAAAGGATGTTGGATCCCCTGGAACTCAAGTCGCAAACAATTCTCTCTTTTTCTTTATCTTTTTTGGAGGGTGGGGGAGCGGGGGAGGATGGGTTAGACAGTGTATCTCTGTGTAGCTCTGGCTGTCCTGGAACTCATAGAACAGGATGATCTCAAATTCAGAGATCCACCTGCCTCTGGCTCCCAAGTGCTAGGATCAAAGATGTGCACCACCACTGCCTGGCCATCACAGACTGTTCTTACTCACTATGTGGGCGCTGGAAATCAAACCTGGGTCTTCTGGAAGAACAACCAGTGCTCTTAACTGCCTAGCCATCTCTTCAGCCCCAGGCATGGGCTTCTTGAGTGCTGTCTTCTGTGACCAGAGCCAGAAGGGACGTGTTCACACTGCCTGGGAGCTTGGGGGACCTCCTTGGGGAAGCACTGAGCCTCTCCCCAGTTGGTCTGCCTGTTGGAATGCAGGCTGCTCTTTGCTTCATGGAGAGAGCGCCATTAGCCATTCTACCGGTAGTGTCCCCTACTAAGTAGATAGTCATTCCTGTGTGCCAGTTGTCATGTGCTCTTCCCAGGGTCACTGAGAAGTCACACTTGAAGTATACTCAGGCTTAGGGTACTGGACTCCATCCAATCCAGACAGTCCCGAGACTAACTTTGCCATGTTCCCTCCACAGCCCAGCACAAGCTGACTCTCCCAGCTCTGCTTTTCTCTTTCCTTCTCTGAAGATTCTAGTTGTGACTTTGTGATCCAAAATGAGTCCCACGGCATGGTCACCTTCCTCTTAACACCCCTCAGCAGGGGCTTCCAGGAAGGATGTGGCTCCCTCTGCCAGAGACTGTTCAGTTCTCCCACCCTTTGAAGTCTGGCTGTCTGCAGGGTAAACTGTGGTTGTCTCAAAGACTTCATTCTGAAGCCAAAAATACCAGCATCTCTGAAATGGGACAGCACAGGAAGTTAGGGCAGGGGGCACTTGCTCTTTGATGTCCCAGAAGTGAAAAGTGGCCTGCAGCTACAGGGTGCCCGGGCATCATGTGGCTTTAGGGGCCAGCCATGGCATAGACCATCATGCCTCCACAGCCCATCAGACCTGGGACCCTTCTTGGCTAGAAGCAGAATAAGACCTGTGTTATAGGAGGCAGATAGCTGGGACGAATGTGGCAGTGTGAGCCCTTCTGTGAGGCTTGGGACACTCAGGACACCCAGAGTCACTTTCTCATCCTGAATACCTATAACGCAGGACACCTGAGGATGTGAACACAGTTTGTGAAACAGGTCCACCCGTTTGAAAAATGGTTTGGCCAGATGTACTAAAGCTGAAGATAGACCTCATGCCTGCAATATTCCATTGGTAGGTGTCATTCAGCATAAGCACATGCCTGTGTCTGCTTATGATGTCCAGCAAGACCTACCAACAGCACTGATCCTGATAAGGTTGGCCACAAGCTGCCAAATGTCCAGGATGGGTTATTCACATAATGGACACTACACAACCTGAATGTTTAGTTACCAAAATAACAAGGTGACTCTTAGTGTGAACAGAGTATAAACTGGAAGATTCCATTTTATGTGATTTCCAAGATAGACAAAATTGGTAGTGCTGAGGCCCAGGGAGGCCCAACATAACAGGTGTAAGTTGTATTTTATTCATTGACCTGGGAAAGTAAGTAGTCCTGACCATGCTCAGTTTGGCGTGTGTCACTTTTATAAGTGTCTTTTACTGCAGGGTTGTTAAGTGAAAGCAAAACAGTAAGTGCAACGTGCAGATGTAAGAAACGCCTAACATTGTTAGTGGATGCTCACGTGGTTCATGTGTGCTTTCACAGTGGCTCTTCTCTATGGGCACCTTATGACCAGAGAGTTGCCAGAGTAGGCGAGAGAAAGGACAGACCTTTAGCTGGGCAGGGTAGTGCACACCTTTAATATCAGCACTCTGGCAGCAGAGGTAGGTAGATCTTTGTTTTGGACCGGCCTGCTCCACCAAGTGAGTTCCAGGCCAGCCAGGGTTATATAATAGTGAGAGCCTGTCTCAAAAAAACAAGAAGAATAGACTTTTAACACTAGTGTCACAAACACTGAAAGTGCACTCCAGCTGGTTCCTGCCTCTCCACTGCTGGCATTCTTACCTTATTCTCTTCACTTATATGTGGAAGGGAGCATCTTGTGCTAATGAGAAGGCACTGGGTACCATGGAGAAAGTCCAGCAGCGGCTAGAGGTGGGTTGATACCACCCCTGCCTGCTGTCCTGACCACTATGCGTAGTCACATGCCCAGCTGCTGGCCCACAAAGGCTGGAGACAGAGGTCTGCCCTGATGTGGTTCCTGGCTCCAGGGCTGGCATGTGCTCCACAGCGGAAATGGGGCTTCTCAAGGGAAGGGTTGTGCCCTGGGGAGAGGGGCATCCACGAGAGAAGGACAATGTGACTAAAGAATGCTGGGGGATAGCCTCAGAACCCCCTCTAGTCAGTCAGCTCCCAGGAAGTGGCAAGCTTCCTGCCACACCCAGAACTGTAGCTAAAGGAGGTTCTAGCAAGCTTGGGCCTTGAGGGACATGCAGTGCCATTATCCCTGTCAGAGCTCCCCTGAGCCTATTGGTATAGGGCTCTTGTCTACCTTAGTCCTGCCTGTAGTCCTGCAGTTGCCACTGACTCTCAGAGTTCTCCTTGGTCCAGCCTTGAGTTCAAGGAGCTGAACTGGTGCTATGTGTACACACCCTCAGCTTCAAATAAAAATGTCACTGCCCTTTTCATGCTTCCAGTGGAGAGTGGTGGTGGTGGTGGGGGGGGGGGGAGATGAGGTGCCTCGCTCCCAACCTGTGACTGCCCGAAGCAGAGCAGCATGGGAGAGGGAGGAGGTGGGGACAACTCAAGAAAGGGACTTGGAGATAGTTTGGAGACTTCGGTAGGGCTACACTGGGCAGGTCCTAGTGAGCCAGGATGCCTGAAAGGGATTTGGCAAGTCTGCAGGGGCTTTGAACACAAAGGGATATGCAGTACCCTATGTTGGAGGAGTCTGGAGCTAGGTTTTCCAGTTTCTCAGTGCTGCTTATGCCCCCTAGAGGCAGTTCAGAGTGCTGGGGCACATGCCCATCATGTGGCCACCCTCAGGAGGAGGGCCTCTGGGAACAGAGTTAAAAGATTCAGAGAAAGGCTCCATTCTTTCCCCCGACCTCAGCCTACCCTGGCTTGGGGAAGCAGGGGACCCAGAAGTCGGGAGATGCGGAGCTTAGAAATGTGTCTGAGGCACTTGCTGGGAAGAGGCAACGAGAGCAGCAGAAGGCTGGGCTCCTCAGCGGGACTCCATGAGCAGAGCGCAGGGTCCTAGCCAGGAAGTGTCTAGACTTTGCCTGTGCCATGCCTAGGCAGAAAGAGGGCAAGTGTGAAGGAAAATCGGAGAGTGCCCAGATGGAAAGAGGCAGTGTGAGGGACGTCGGACACCCCTGATCATAACATGAGCTGAGTAGGACGCTGGGAGGCTGATACCACCTGGAGCTGAAGCCTCCTCCACTGACTGCTCCCTGCTTCCTGGACAAGACTATGCCCACTCGGGGGCCTCAGAAGAGGCTTCTGGGTTCTCTCAACTCCACCTCCACAGCCACCCCTCACCTTGGACTGGCCACAAACCAGACAGGGCCTTGGTGCCTGCAGGTGTCTATCCCGGATGGCCTCTTCCTCAGCCTGGGGCTGGTGAGTCTGGTGGAGAATGTGCTGGTCGTGATAGCCATCACCAAAAACCGCAACCTGCACTCGCCCATGTATTGCTTCATCTGCTGTCTGGCCCTGTCTGACCTGATGGTGAGTATAAGCTTGGTGCTAGAGACTACTATCATCCTGCTGCTGGAGGCAGGGGCCCTGGTGACCCGGGCTGCTTTGGTGCAGCAGCTGGACAATGTCATTGACGTGCTCATCTGTGGCTCCATGGTGTCCAGTCTTTGCTTCCTTGGTGTCATTGCCATAGACCGCTACATCTCCATCTTCTATGCACTACGTTATCACAGCATTGTGACACTGCCCCGGGCACGGCGGGCCATCGTGGGCATCTGGGTGGCCAGCATCTTCTTCAGCACCCTCTTTATCACCTACTACAATCACACAGCCGTCCTAATCTGCCTCGTCACTTTCTTTCTAGCCATGCTGGCACTCATGGCAGTTCTGTATGTCCACATGCTCACTCGAGCATGCCAGCATGCTCAGGGGATTGCCCAGCTCCACAAGAGGCAGGGCTCCACCCGCCAAGGCTTCTGCCTTAAGGGTGCCGCCACCCTTACTATCCTTCTGGGAATTTTCTTCCTGTGCTGGGGCCCCTTCTTCCTGCATCTCACACTCATCGTCCTCTGCCCTCAGCACCCCACCTGCAGCTGCATCTTTAAGAACTTCAACCTCTACCTCATTCTCATCATCTTCAGCTCCATCGTCGACCCCCTCATCTATGCTTTTCGGAGCCAGGAGCTCCGCATGACACTCAGGGAGGTGCTGCTGTGCTCCTGGTGAGCAGGGAGGTGGCTTTTGGTCTCAGGCCAGGGTGCTGGGCAGAGGGTGACAATGATATCCAGTGGCCTGCATCCTGTGAGACCACAGGTACTGTCGTCCCTTCCTGACCCCCATTTGTGCAAGGGTGGACTAGATGAACTTTAAAATAGAAACACAAACTGCCTGGGACCAGGAAAAGGGGTCAGTGTGACTGCAGGGGTCATCCGGGGTAGCTGCGGGAAATGGAAGAAGCAGGGGATAGGGATTCTAGCTCTAGGCAAGGGTCAGCCCACAGGCTCCTGAAGAGATAGTCCCTGCCTCCGGAGAGCTTCACCTCTACCCACTGACTAGGCAATCCCCACCTAGTTCTTCAGCGCACTCAGGCTGGGCCCTCTACTGCTGGGTTGGACAGGAAGTTTCTGAATTAAAAGAATGACAAGAGCCATAAAGGCGTGCTTACTCCTGGTGAGGGCTTCTGAAGGCGGAATTTGTGACCAGGAAAATCCAGCCATAGCCATGCAGCAGGCTGCTTAAACAAGTGAGGCCCTTTCTCAATAAAGGGACCAGAATTGCAGAACGTGCATCTTGCACAAGGGATCTACCCATTTGCACTGGGGGAGTGGGGCTGACCTAAAGACCAGTTGTGTGGCTCATGGGTATCCCAAGAGGTGGGGACCCAGCTGCTCACCCCCAGCAGGCTACTCCAACAAGTGCCTCCTCTGGCCTTGGTAGAGGCTGTTGGCCTATTAGTGACCACAGCCTGTGGCTCTGAGCCAGAAATCGGTTGAAATGCTCAGATAGAGCCTCATCATTATCTTCCCTAGCTCTGCCCAGAAGTTGCTTGAAGTTTGAGTAGGAAAAGGGTAGGAACAGCAGTCAGGATAGGAGGAAAGGAGTCTCCAAGCCACAGCTGCCTGCCTGAATTAGGAATCCACAGTTCAAAACACAGCAAGTATCCTAATCAGGCCCTCCTAGCTTCCTCTATAGTACTACAAACTAGAGCAGATCAAGGGGCTGCAGGTTCAAATCCTCCACCTACCTCTATGGTGACAAGGCAGTTCAGGCTCCTTCCAGATCAACCGCAGCAGGACCACAGAGTCTCAGCCCCTGATATGACCCATCTGTAACCTTGGCCAGAGCCTACCCCTTTCCTGGCCCCATTCCTGTAGCACCTTCAGCCATGGCACAGAGTGCTATCATCCTACTCTGAGCTGCCCTGAGGAGCCTATAGCATAGGATAGGCCAGGGGTTGGGATCTATTTCTACTCAACACTGCCCTTCTGGGAGAGGGTGGTGGTGCCAGTGCTCTGCCAGTCTTGGCAAGTATTTAGATTAGGCCTCTCAGAACAAAGGAGGGTGCCTAGGAGCTCAAGGGTATCTGAGTCCTGGGAGTGGCACATGGGGTGAACTACAGTCTTGCTGCTGTGGAATGGCAGACCCCCAAGTCCTTCTACTGCTACAACCTGGAATTCCTACTGCAGAGTCTATCTTGGGTCCCCCATGGATGCTGAGCACGCCACTGTCCTCCCTGGGGTGGCCTCAGTCTGGGCTAATGCGCCCTCAACCACCTCTGAGACAGGAGTGGTATCAAGCCAGACCCTAGGCACACTGTCAGCTCCAGCCCTGTTGGACTGAGGTTGGAAGCTGGTTCCCGGCAGGGCCAGCCTTTGCTGGAAGAGAGGACCATGAGTCAGCCTTTATCCTGGCTTCATAGCTCTCTGGGGACACGGGGAGCTGGCCTGGCCTGATGTCATCTGACAAAGAGGCAGCCCAGGCCTCTGGATATTTCCAAGCATCTTCCCTGTTCAGACAAGGAGACAGAGCCAGATGCTCACCCAGGACTTCTTGAACCAGGCCAGCTGGAAACCAGCTACAGAAAGCCACATCATGGACACGTTGTGGGGGAGGGGCATCTCCTGAGAACAAAAGACCCATTTCTAAACTCCGCTAGCTCAGAAGCTTATCCTCAGAGAAGAGTTGTATGCCCAGCCACTCTACCCAGCACACGCCTGTGAAAACTGGACAAAGGCACCGACAGACTGTTTCTCGCTGCTCTTGTGAAATGAATGAATGTGGACCATCCATGTGTGGTAGTACTGTCTCAGACTCTTCCAGAAGAATTTCTGTCGTTGAAATATCAAAAAGTCCTCATAAGGTGTCACTGACCCTAGATGAATATTAAATCAGTGCTGCATGTGAACACATTGCATGTCCTCTTGTGATCATTTGACTCTTGCTCCCAATGGCCCCCTCCACACACAGTCTCCTTACCTAGGCAGCTCCAGCTCACTCCATTACCCCCTCTTCGCCCTCACTTGTACCAAAAGTGAAAGGGAGGGTACCAATGACATCAGGGATGGTTCAGACAGAAAACACTGCTCAACGTCCTCCACTGACTGGCTTGTATGTCCTTATGTGAATTTTCCACGCAGATATTCACGAAGCAGGGTTGCTTGCCAGGCACTGTGCATCCCCGCATCCCAGGTACATCTGCACCCTCACGCCAGCCCTTTGGGGAGCACTGGGCTGGTAGCCCTCTCTCCTCCAGAAAACAGTGACCTCAGAGTTGGAGCTATAATCCACTACCCTTCTGACATTCATTCCCAGGTCTGCACAGAAGTATCAGGGAGGCTCCAGCTTTCCCAGCCTCGCCCACCCCAAGGTACCCAGCAAACTCAGAAAATATGGGTCTTGATTCTTAAGCACATGAGAGTAAGAAAGACCCTCTTTACAAAGCTGCAGGGTGGGGTTGGGGCAGGGACGAAATGGGGAGGGCAGCTACTGGGGTGGGGCACTGAGGGGCCTGGGCTCTATTGTCCCCAGAGCCGAAGGCCCTCCGGCGGCCCCTCCTCCGAAGGCGCGGCCAGACATGCTCCGCATTGTGCGGGCGGATCTCAGCCGTGGTGCTGATGCTGCAGAGCCTGCTGCATTCTGCAGCAGCGCCCCAGCATTGGTCCGCAGCGCTGACATCAGCTAGCGAGGGCGGGGCTGCCTCTTATAAGAGGGCGCGGCGGAGGCCACCGATCCTCCGCAGCCCGCTGTCCGCCTGCTTCTCAACTCGAGTCGTTTGAAGTCAGCATGAGGGAGATCGTGCACATCCAGGCCGGCCAGTGCGGCAACCAGATAGGGGCCAAGGTGAGACTGAGCGGTCCGGCGTCCTGCGTCCCCATGAGCGTCAGCCCCGGAGAGGGGGAGGGGGAGGGAGAGGCTGTTCTGGGAGCCGCCGGCGGAACAAAGGGTAGAGCCCAGCCCCTTGCCCGGCTCTGGGACCCCAGAATCCCCAATCGGGTCCCCTCACTGGCGTCACTCTGCTCCGCGCCCAGGTTGCTGCAGACAGCTAGGGGCAACCCTTCTGACTCTCACTTACATCCATTCTGCTCACCCCCACACACAGTGGTTCCAGCAGGTACAGAGGATATGGTTGGGGGCGCCGACTGGGCGTGGCCTTCTTGGAGACTGCCACTTAAGCCTTGAGTAAGATGGGTGTGTCGGGCAACTTTGGGTGGGGCTCTCCCCTAAAGCCATAATGACTGTACATGCCCGAACCCCTACTGGAGAACTGGACTGTCTTCAAGAAGCAAGGCCGTCCTCACCTCCTCAGCCTTGCTCAGATCACCCTCAGCTTCCTTGCCCCACCCTGTTCCTTTGTTGGAGGGGTTGGGCCGGGACTCCGATGACCTTGGTCCAGAACTGGACTCTCCCTATCTGTGCAAATCTCCGGTTTCTAACTGTGCCCTCCCAGGGCCTCTGCAGTCGGGATTGAGCACAGAACAAAGCCGACTGCAAGGATGGCCTCTATTTCCCCGTTACTGTCAGCCCACCTCCAGTGTGGAAGCTGAGACACAAAAGGGCTGTTGGTGCGGTAACTCTGCATCCCTACTGTGATCAGGGAGGTAGCTGTCCTGTTTCCAAGTCCTAGGAGGCTGTTCCTTACTCAAGGTCACACAGCAAGTGGAAGACAGAACCACTTGATCGGCGTGGAAGCCCAACCTGGGGTTGGGTTGGGTCTGGGTGGGTGGGGTCAGCTACCTCCCTCGTCTCTCTTCTAGACTATTGTTTGAGCTCCATATTTGAGACGGAGCTTTGTCCAGATGGATGCTGGACATGGCTCAGGGATGGTGGATAGCTAGTTCCCAAAGGAGGAGGTGGGGTAGACAGGTCCTGGAAGGGAGGGGACGAAGCAAAGATTACCTCTGGAGGCTGTTGCCATAGAAACCAGGCAGGAACAAAAAGCTAATTACCATGGGCTGGGGCAGTCACGTGGCTGACATGTAAATTGCAAGTTTGGCTCTAGGGTGGAGGTTCCTCTAGTTAGTGGGGAGGGAAGCAGCACCAGGGAGGCTCCCTAATCACAGAGGAGACAGCTGTTCCTATTCTAGAGGGGAACTTGGGGAGGGGGGCATACAGGGGAAGCCTAGGGCAGGAGCCTCCGATCAAATCAGGACTCCTGGGGTAATCACTGACAGCTGCCCTAGCCTGAAGGGAGGGTGAGGGCTCATTAATGTGGTCACAGGTGCCAGGCTTCCCTGAACATCTGCTCCTGGAAAGGCCAGGGGTGAGTGGGGGAGGGAAGGTCCTAAGGCCCGTTTGGTGACCCTCTTGTGCTGGAACTGGTAATGTACTGTGCTCCATCAATGGCTCCTGTTTAGCAAGGGCCTAGAAGGTCCTAAAAAAGGACCTGATCCTTTTTTAACAATGCAAATAATGGGTAAATTATCTGGGGAGGGGTGTCTTCCTTTCCCATTGTTTTCCTTCACAATAATCAGCACAAGGCATTTTAGCAGTTACCATCTAGCCCTCTGCCCTAGAAGATCTCCCAGAGACCAGACTGAAGGGCCAGGCCCTGTGGGGATTTACCTGCTCAGCATCTGCCCCAGGCGATATGAACTTCCTGGGCTGGATTTACTTCCTATTTTTGTAGCTGGCTTTAGGGTCCCTGGTGTGAGCCACAGTGGGGAAAGTTTCTCCCTGCCACCTGCAGCAACTGAGGGCATGGACACAGGGGGCTGCCTTTGTGCTTATTGGTCCTTGGGTGGTGCCTGTCCCAGCACACAGGGCCACTGGCTTTAGAGAGGTGACTGGGAGGAGGTGTGGGTGGAGTGGAGACAGGAAGAGAAGTGTGAGGCCAGGAGGACATGCTTGGAAGCAGCAGAAGGGGTGCATTAGCAATGCATAAGGTTATCACCTCCTGTGAGTTAAGCACTGGGTCTGGAGCATTATTACACCTTTTGGTGTGTGGTGTGGGTATCACCCTCCCTTAAGGCTGAGACAGATGAAGGTTCTAGAAGCTGAGTCACTTGCCTCGGATCACACCATGGATTTGAGCAAGGCAGGAATTTTAGTATAGGTGTGTGCAGATGTGTCAAGGTGGGTGGTGACATGTGCCCCCACCAACAGGAGCAGATGTGACTGGGCCCCTCTTTTTGTTCCCTTTGCCCGGGCCTGAGATCCTAGATTCATTCTTCTATAAAGGGGGCCCCTAGAAAATGTCTTTATGGTGCCTTTGTCTATACTTCTTGTCTGTGCTCCACCAGCTGCCTGAAAACCACCCCACCCAAGCAGGAGCTTGTGGAAAGTATGACTCACCTGAGAGCCAATGGGCCTGGTGAGGAGGGTCCTCAGGGTTCTAGGGGAACTGAACATCTTTGGGGGCTCTCGGACCTCTCTGGGAGCAATGCATCCCAACTCTGCTTGCACTCATGTTCCCCGCCCTGCTGCTGTCAGAGGCCTGCGCCCCAAGAGGGTCAGCACCTCGGACAGCAGCACCGTGGTTTGTGGGCTGGAACCTCAGGTCTAAGACAGGCTGAACCAGTATGAGTTCAGATTGGGTTCACAACAGATGGGATTTTCTTTTCTGTAGTGATGCTTAATTTAAATAATTCTATTCATTTAATTTAAATAATTCTGTTCATTTGTTTATTAAATATTCTATGTAGTAATATTTCCTTATAAGGTTTTCTTTTATTTTATTTGTGTTATTTTATGTTAGCCTCCCAATATGTAACCCAGACTGGTCTTGAACTCACGATCTTCCAGCCTCAGCCTTCTAAGTACTGGGTTTACAGCTTTTTACCATTGCAGTGGGGAATATTTTATTTTGAATTGCATTTTATTCCTTTTAACTTACAAAAGCAGTTGTTGATATATTTTTTCATGGGAAAATTGAAACACAGGCAGATGTTGCTCAGTGGTGAGCGCTTCTTTCTTTAGCATGTGAGAGGCCGTTAAGTTTGATCTGCAGCAGAGTGAACAAAACGAAGGCTGAAATGCTGCAGAGAGCTGAGCATGTTGCCACACACTCATCGTACCAGCGACTGGAGAGCTGAGGCAGGAGGATTATTAAGAATGCTTCAGCTTGGGTGACAATCAAGAACCTTGTTTCAGTTTTGTGTCTGTTTTTCTAAGACAACATTTCCCTGTGTAGCCCTGGCTGACCTGGAACTTACTTTCTAGACTAGGCTGGCCTCCAACTCAGAGATCCTCCTGTTTCTGCCTCCCGAGTGTTGGGACTAAAGGCGTGTGCCGCCGCCACCACCTCCCAGAAAGATTTTGTTTCTAAAACAAAATAATAACAAAATAAAAAGAACACTGCAGATAAGGTAACCTATCATATATTTTTAATTTAAAATGTATGTGTGTGTGCATGCCTGGTGCAAAGAGAAGTCAGAAGAGGGCATTAGACCTCTGAAACTGGGGATGCAGACACTTGGGAGCCGCCATGTGGGTGGTGCTTGGAGCTGAACCTGAGTCTTTTTTTTTTTTTTTTTTTTTTGGAGACAGGAAGACAGGGTTCTTTTGTGTAGTCCTGTGGAACTTCTATAAGAACAGCCATATTAGACTGGAGAGATGGCTCAATGGTTAAGAGCACTGGCTGCTCTTCCAGAAGATCCAGGTTCAATTCCCAGCAACCACAAAGATGGCTCACAACCATCTGTAATGAGATCTGGTGCCCTCTTCTGGCCTGCAGGTATACATGCAGGCAGAACACTGTATACATAATAAATAAGTAAATCTTTAAAAAAAAAAAAAAAAAAAACCATGTTTCCAGCCCCATTTCTTTTTAAATTAAAAATTAGTACAGCTGGGTCAGTGGCACACATCTTTAATCCCAGCACTCAGGAGGCAGAAGCAGGTGGATCTTTGTGAGTTCGAGACCAGCCTGCTCTACAGAGCAAGTTCTAGGACAGCCAGGGCTACACAGAGAAACCTTGTTTTGAAAAAGCAAAAAGGAAAAAAAAATGTTCCTTCCAGCCAGGCCCTACTATGTTATCTAGGCTGGCCTTGAACTCACAGCTTTACTCCTGCCTGAGGCCTCTGAATCATGGATTATAGGTGTGTGACATCACATCCAGTTTATGTAACATGCCTTATCACCTCCCCTGTTTAGTGTCACACACACACACACACACACACACACACACACACACACACACACACACACACTAGCAGGACAGACAAGGGAAAGTCCGTCCCAGCATGGACATGTTCCCTGGATTACATTTTTTTCTATATTCTTGTCCATTTCATTTAACTTGTATATGTGACTTATGCTTTATGAAGATATATTTTATTCATATGTGTGCCCTCAGAGGCTGAGGGGGCCATGTTGTTTGATTCTTTGGAGTTACAGGTGTTTGTGAGCCACCTCATGTGGGTGCTAAGATCTGAACTCAGGTCCTCTGGTGAGCCAGCTCTCCAGCCTGACTTCAAAACTTTCGCTTTTGGAGACAGGGTCTCATTTATCCCAGGCTGGCCTCAAATTTCCTGTGTGTATGAGGATGACTTTGAACTTCCGGCTCTTCTGCCTCTACCTTCCAAAGGCACTGAATGATTCTGTACACATCAGGCAAGTACTCTACTAACTGAATAGCCCAACTCCAGACTTTCAAACTTTAAATAGCCCCTAGACTTTTTAGCAAATGAAGCGCATGTCTGTTGGACTCTTTCATGGGCATGATTGTCATTTTAAAGTGAGACCCATCCTTGTCTCTGTGAGGCCTGCTTCTCAAGACCTTTGTGGACTCATGGAGAGAACAGTGACCGAATCTCTCACACAGCATTAAGCTCTTCCACTTTTTTTTTGTTTGTTTGTTTTTTTCGAGACAGGGTTTCTCTGTGTAGCTTTGCGCCTTTCCTGGAACTCGCTTTGGAGACCAGGCTGGCCTCGAACTCACAGAGATCCACCTGGCTCTGCCTCCCAAGTGCTGGGATTAAAGGCGTGTGCCACCACCGCCCGGCAAGCTCTTCCACTTTTGCAAGGGTCGGTGGATATGGAATCCCTGGAGCTACAAGTTAGGTACCGAGGACTATGTGTGCTGAGCCCTTGGCTCACCAAATAGCAGCTGAATAGAGAGTCCTCTGACTTGGTCCCATGGGCAAATCTTCAAGATCAAGCCCCATTGCCTCTGACATGTCTGTGTTTTTGTTTTCCCAATTAAAAATTAACATATGCTGGGGCTGGGGATGCAGCTCAGTTGAGTGCTTACTAGCAAATGCAAAGCCCTGTGTTTGATCCCCAACACTTCAGAAACTGGATGTGGTGGTATATGCCTGTGTTGTCAGTACTCAGGAGGTAGCTCAGAAGTTCAAAGTCATTCTCAATACATAATAAGTTCAAGGCCAGCCTGGGATACATGAGACACTGTCTCTAGCTTAAATAAATAAATAAATAAATAAATAAATAAATAAATAAATAAATAAATAAATGTAAATTTTTTTTTTTTTGGTTTTTCGAGACAGGGTTTCTCTGTGTAGCTTTGCGCCTTTTCCTGGAACTCACTTGGTAGCCCAGGCTGGCCTCGAACTCACAGAGATCCGCCTGGCTCTGCCTCCCGAGTGCTGGGATTAAAGGCGTGCGCCACCACCGCCCGGCTATAAATGTAAATTTTTAAAAAGCAAAACACATTTAGTACAGAAAAGAATAAAATTAGCAGTGCCCAGGCGGTGGTGACGCACGCCTTTAATCCCAGCACTCAGAAGGCAGAGCTAGGCGGATATCTGTGAGTTCGAGGCCAGCCTGGTCTACAGAGTGAGTTCCAGGAAAGGCGCAAAGCTACACAGAGAAACCCTGTCTTAAAAAACCAAAACAAAAAGCAAAAACCAAAACCGAAAACAAAAAATTAGCAGTGGCAAAAATACACAAAAGAGGGGCTGGAGTTATGTCTCAGTAGTTAGCGTGTTCTGCTCTCAGCACCCACATTAGGTGGCTCACAATTGCTTGTAACTCCGACTCCAGGAGCATCTGATGCCTCTGGTCTCTATGGACATCTGCACTCACATGCACATACCCACAGTTACACTCAGACACACACACACACACACACACACACACACACACACACACACACACACACTTCAAAATAAAATAAAAATTAAAAATCCACAAAAGAGAGGAAGAAATCCAGGCCCCTCTGATGAGAGATGACCTCCGAGATGGGCCCCTCAGAATAAGTTGTCAGACCCCTCTATGGCCTATAGTCATGATTCTGTTTGGACTGTTTTTTGGATCTTAGAGAATTTTTGTTGAAAGATTAAAATGTTTTATGGGGTGAAGAGATGGCTCAGTGGTTGACTGCTCTTCCAGAGGACCTGGGTTCGATTCCTAACACCCACGTGGTGCCTCACTACCGTCTGTGACTCCAGTTCCAAGAGACCTGACACCCTCACACAGATGTACATGTAGGCAAAATACCAATGCACATAAAATAAAACTAAATGTTAAAAGATGTTTTATGAGTATGGGTGTTTGCCTGTATGTATGTCTGTGTACCATGTATGCACAATGCCTGCAGAGGCCAGAATGAGTGATGGGTCTGACACTGGAATTACAGATGATTGTGAGCTGCCATGTCAGTGATGGGAACCAATCCTGGGTCCTCCACAAGAGCAACAAGTATTCTTAACTGAGCCATGTTACCAGCCCACTTTAAAGAATGTTTTCAACTCACTTTTCTTTTAAAATAAAAGACCAGGCAGTGGTGGCGCACACCTTTAATCCCAGCACTGGGGAGGCAGAGGCAGGCAGATCTTTGAGTCCGAGGACAGCCTGGTCTACAGAGTGAGTTCTAGGACAGTCAGGGCTACACAGAGAAACCGTCTCAAAAAAAAGCCAAATAAATAATGAATGAATGAATGAATGAATGAATAAAGAAAATTAACACAATAAATAAATAGATAGACAAATAAATGAATGAATAGATAGATAGACAAATAAATAAATGAATGAATAGATAGATAGATAGATAGATAGATAGATAGATAGATAGATAGATAGATCAAAGCAAGCTGAGGTGCACATGACAACCATCCAACAGCACCAAAGGGTAGACAGTGAAAATTCTCTTTCTCTAAGCCCCAAGGCCAGGGCCCCAGGAAGTCTCTCTGACATCCAAATATAGACAAGCACATGCAGACTGTTTCCTAACCTGCTTTCAACGTTGAGCAATCTTTTCCTCCACATGACTCCCAGGCAGAGGCCTTTTGTTTCTCTAGGCCTTTATATCATTGACTTATCTGCAAGTCACTCCTGCTCCTCCTAGCTGTAAGAAATAGGCAAGGATGGAGGGTCTCACAGCCAAGGAGGCCGCTGCCGGCCCGGTAGTCTGTGTATCCTGATGAAGTCCTGTGTGTAGGCCTTCCGTTCCCTGACCCCCAGGACTGCATAACAGTGGTTGTTATCTGCCACCGCTACTTACTCCTATACTCTATGAGGTTAGCTGTGTTCTCAACGAGAACCTGTTGTCATGGAGCCAGCCCACCGTACGGAGGACACCAAAGCACAGCAAGCCTTTGTGTGGCGGCTGTGGACCCTGAATCTTAGACCATGCTCTGTGCTGTCTCGCCCTGCTGAAGTGATGGGGGCAGTGTGTGAGGAGCATTGTGTTCTTGTGCAAAGGGCTGGCTACTTTGAGTGTAGCAGCTTGTGAGCCGATGATCCCGGGTGTTAACAGGCTCCTAGATAAGGTTCATGACCTCAGATAAGCCATTCTGCTGTCGGAGACTACTAGGGCTCTTCTGCAGATCCAGCTGTGGGTCACACTGCCTATGACAATGACACACCAGCACCGGTGGAACCCGCCAGCGTACATGGCTTGCACTGGCACCGAGGGTCACATTAGTGCCTGAGAACCTGATCTGACCTGTGTCCTGCTCTGCCACCTGCTCTGGGCAGATTTCTACCTTTTGTGTGCCTCCAGTTCCTTTCCTGAAAAGAAAGAATAAAAATGACCCCGGAAGATATCTGCATTTCCCTTCAGATGTAGAGCTGGGTAGAACCTGTCGGTGTAGGCTGAGTCCTCGTTCACCTGGGGCCTGGTAATATTAGCCAGATAAAGCAGAGAGTAGGTATGCATTTTTTATTCTTTTCTAAAGCCTTGTGTCGAGTCTAGTAAGGCCCCAAAGTTCTACTTTTGCACCATGGACTTTAAGACTTCGGGAGGGCAAAGGCCTACCAGTAGGGTCACAAGTGCCTGCTTGTGACCTTTTCTACTGTCCTCATACAGTTCTGGGAGGTCATCAGTGATGAGCACGGCATAGACCCCAGTGGCAACTACGTGGGGGACTCAGACCTGCAGCTGGAGCGCATCAGCGTGTACTACAATGAGGCCTCCTGTGAGTACCACGCCACATCCATCCTGACCCTGGCAAGAAGGGCCCCTGGGTAAATAGAGTCCTAGCATCTGTTGACCAAGAGGCTAGCAGGTGTGACTGGAAATGAGGCACTCAAACTCATAGTATAAAGAATGACTACCATGGAGTAAGATGCAAATGTATTTAATGGTGGTGATGGCCTTGAGTCGTCCAGGGACAGGCAAGGCTTGATCCTGCCTGTCCTGGGTGTCAGTCATTACATCCATGGCCAGGCCAGAGCTTGCCATGGGTCCATGCCTATGATATGCGTTCCAGCCCTTAGGGTGAGAGTGGGAGACTGGCAGGCTGAGGGCGGGATTCAAGGGGAAGTAGCTAGAGTGCCCTGACTCTAGCTCACACACTGAATCTTCTCTCCTCTCAGCTCACAAGTATGTGCCCAGAGCCATTCTGGTGGACCTGGAACCTGGAACCATGGATAGCGTGCGGTCTGGGGCCTTTGGACACCTATTTAGGCCTGACAACTTTATCTTTGGTGAGTTTCCCTGCTCCAGGCTCTGATGACAGACGCCTGGGCCTGGCAAACCCAGGTCAACAGATGGAGGTAGGATGTCTGAATGGGGATGAAGTCAACTATTCTTCACTGGGACCCTGGAGGGGGAAAATGACTTTCCATTTTACAAATGGCATTGGCGGCCCAGATAAAGGATTCTGTATAGGAAATAATCCCTCTCATCATTTTACAAAGAGTGAAGTATAAAACACAAGCTTTTGGAACTGTTAGAGTTGTGGGGACAAAAGCAGGGTCTCTGGAGGACTCCAGTTTATGAGCATGTGTCAGGAGGTCAGGGTGTCCTCGAGCCTATGCCCAGTGACAGGTCCTCAGTGCTCACCCAGACACAAGACCATCTCACCTCACTTCTGCTTTCAAGACCCTAGCACCATGAGCCGGTGAGATGGCTCAGCAGGTAAAGGGATTGGCCGTCAAACCTGATGATCTGAGTTCAATCCCTGGGGCCCAGGTGGTAGAGAACCGACTCCTTTAAGTCATCCTCTGACTTCCATACGTGTGCCATGGCACGTGCACACCCACATGTGCACACCCACACATGCACATGCACACCCACACATGCACACGCACCACACACACACACATATTCTCTCTCTCTAAAGAAACAAATGTGCTGTTGTTTCTAAAGACCTTAGCACTAGACTCTGGGTGCCAGTTCTTAGCCAGTCCTCAGCTGCCATAGATGCTCAGGGGTTCTTTTTATTCTGGAAAAGAGGAGTATTTGGCTTAGAGGGGTGAGGAGAGTAGGCAAGACTTCATCTCCCTTTAAGATCTCAGCAGAGCAATGGGAGGAAAGGTGAGCTGGAGAGGGAAGGCTGAGCTATTCCTCTGGGATGTTCTTGAGAGATAGCAAGGCCCGGGTCTTCTCCCAGATTCTTCACAGCCTGTTCACAGCTTCTGCAGCTGAGATCCCCACAACTCAGCAGTGATGCCCAGAGTGGAATGAGAAGGCACGTTAGCACAGTGTGCATTTTAGAGACTTTCTTCTGGGGTGTTTGGCAGGTCCTGGAGGTCTGCACTGCAGACCCTGGACTTTGCCTATCCCCTGCCCCTTCTGTCTCTACAGGTCAGAGTGGCGCCGGCAACAACTGGGCCAAAGGGCACTACACCGAGGGCGCGGAGCTGGTGGACTCCGTCCTGGATGTCGTGAGGAAGGAGTGTGAGAACTGCGACTGTCTGCAGGGCTTCCAGCTGACACACTCACTGGGTGGGGGTACAGGCTCAGGCATGGGGACCCTGCTCATCAGCAAGGTGCGCGAGGAGTACCCTGACCGCATCATGAACACCTTCAGCGTGGTGCCCTCACCCAAAGTGTCGGACACTGTGGTGGAGCCCTACAATGCCACCCTGTCCATCCACCAGCTGGTGGAGAACACGGATGAGACCTACTGTATCGACAACGAGGCCCTCTATGACATCTGCTTCCGTACCCTCAAGTTGGCCACACCCACCTACGGGGACCTCAACCACCTTGTTTCTGCTACCATGAGTGGAGTCACTACCTCCCTTCGATTCCCTGGTCAACTCAATGCTGACCTCCGCAAGCTAGCTGTCAACATGGTGCCCTTCCCCCGCTTGCACTTCTTCATGCCTGGCTTTGCCCCACTTACAGCCCGGGGCAGCCAGCAATACCGGGCCCTGACGGTACCTGAGCTCACCCAGCAGATGTTCGATGCCAAGAATATGATGGCTGCCTGCGACCCACGCCACGGCCGTTACCTGACAGTGGCCACTGTCTTCCGTGGGCGCATGTCTATGAAGGAGGTGGATGAGCAGATGCTGGCCATCCAGAGTAAGAACAGTAGCTACTTCGTGGAGTGGATCCCCAACAACGTCAAGGTAGCAGTGTGCGATATCCCACCCCGTGGGCTCAAGATGTCATCCACCTTCATTGGCAACAGCACGGCCATCCAGGAGCTGTTCAAACGCATCTCAGAGCAGTTTACAGCCATGTTCCGGCGCAAGGCCTTCCTTCACTGGTACACGGGCGAGGGCATGGATGAGATGGAGTTCACTGAGGCCGAGAGCAACATGAATGACCTGGTATCTGAGTACCAGCAGTACCAGGATGCCACAGCTGAGGAAGAGGGTGAAATGTATGAAGATGATGATGAGGAATCTGAAGCCCAGGGGCCCAAGTAAAGTTGCTCACAGCTGGGGTGTGGGGCCAAGTGGCAGCCAGGGCCAAGACGAGCAGCACCTGTCCCCCAGAGCCATCTAGCTACTGACACTGCCCCCAGCTTTGCTTCCCACCAGCTCCTTAGGGCACCCTAGGGCTCCCAGATTAGAGTCCTTCAGTATTTATGGCCGTCCCCACCCCACATGAGTCCACTTGGCTCTGTCCTTCCCATTTAGGCCACCTCTGTATTTATGTTGCTCATCTGTCTCTGTTTTATTATGGCTCCAGGCCTGATGTTTTACGGTTTGTTTTGTTTTTTACTGGGTTGTGTTTATATTTCGAGGGGGGGGATACTTAATAAAGTCACTGCTGTCAGATCTCTGCCTGGTCCTGGAGAGTTCTTTTTCTCTGCCTTTTTCTGCCACCCCCCCCCCCCCTTTAAAACAAGGACGAGGCTGAAGCGTGTTTGATATAAAGAAGGTTTATTTTTGCTTTGTGAAAGAGCAATTTAGATCTAGAAGGGAAGAAAACAAACAGGGGCAGCCCTTATCTCCTGGGCGCGAGCCTGGTGGCTAAGGTTTGTGCTGAGAGGGTCTCATGGGGCCTCCCAGAGTGTCGGGAGGGGACTGGAGAAGGAAGTTTGCTTGGTTTAAAAATCCCCTTTTAAATCTTGGTTTAAAAGAACCCCTGTCACATCTGACTCAGAAAGCCTACAGGGTGGAGACCCTGTTCCTGGTCTCCCACAGGGTAGCTCATGTTTAGTTTCCTTCCTGCTATCTATGCTGAAAGTCAAGCAGCCGCATAAGGAAGCTGAAGCCTGAGACTTGAACTGGAGAGGCAAGAAGAACTGTTGGGAAGGCTGGGGCTTGACCTTTGAGAAGGGGCTAGCTGGGAACAGGATCCAACCATATGCTGGTTCCATGCCCCTGCCCCCCCCCCCATGATGGTTTCCCATAGCTTCAGAATGCCCAGTATCCAGTCTCACAGAAAGTATGATACTGCCAGAGATCCTTGCCCATCCTTCTCCCTCCTCCTCAGGGAGAAGACTGAAACCCAAAGAGGCCAGCTGTTCAGAGGTCCACAGTGAGTGTGCACAGCTGGGCAAAATTTCTAAATTCTGAGACTCTTCTGCCACCCATTCCCTTATGGTCAAGGGTGTCGTCAAAGCTTCAGCCCCCACCCTCTGCTTGGTGGCACCCTGAAAGGATTTGGCGTTCACAGCACCTTCTTACAACCTCTCTCCATGTGTGTGTCGTCCATAGGTACTGAAGAAGATAAACAGAGCAGCTGCTGGTCCTGGCTTCAGTCTAGGCTGCTGCCCCTAAAAGGACATGTCTCCAGTTCCGGCCCTGGTGTAGGCTGGGGTCTGGGGTTCAACACAAAGCAAACACAGGGCAATGCTGTGGTGTTTCACCTATGGTGGTAACACTAACTTCCCTGAAGCTTAGTGACCTGACCTGAAATCTAAATTAACAATTCATCCTGTGTTAATAAATTTTTGTTTGTTGTTTTTGAGACAAAGTCTCTTTACATTACCCTGGCCATCCTGGAACTCATTATGTAAACCAGGCTGGCCTTGAACTCACAGAGATCAACCTGCCTCTGCCTCTCAAGTGCTGGGAGTAAAGACTGGCAGCTAAATTATTTTGTACTCTCTGTAGTGTTGGCTGGTATAACTGCAAGGTCCAACATTTCACTTGTGGTCCTTGACTGGATGCAACCAAATTGTCAGTCTCTTTACTCTGTGGAGGCCTGTGCACAGCTACCTAGTCTTTCCAATGTGTATTTTGTTAGAGTCATGGAAAACTGAACAGCATAACCACTTTCAGGGAAGTGCTCCAAAGGTCAGGGCAGAAAAAGACATTTAGTTCCTGCTTGGTTCTCAGAGAGGTCACTCTTGGAGCCCAGCACTGTCCTGGTGGAAGCCCACGCACCTGAAGAGGCATCATACGGGTGTCCACTCATCCTTACTAGGTGACTTCAACCTGAGCCACCCAGTCCCCTCAGGCAGGAGCAACAATGTGCATAGAGCATTGGCATTTAGTGTCCCTATCTACAGCAAAGGTACACCTCCTGTCAGGTGTCAGTCACGTCTTGAAGACCTTGTGTATATAGTAAGGGCTTCTATGTGATGCCAGTGGGCATTTGGGTGGTCTGTTATAAAGCATAGATAGTGGACTGGGAAAGGTCTGGGCTGCTTGACCTTGGAGTCCAGTCTGACAGCACTCTTGGTGTTCTTAAGTAAAAGGTGGGGCAAGTCTAGAAATCAGCCCAAAGTTCATGTACAACCAGCAAAGGCCAGCAGACATTGCTGCTTTCTCTTCCCGAGGTGAATGTAGTAGAAACAGCAGGTAGCACATCCTGGCCTGGAGCCTTCCCCATGTATGTCATCTCCAGTGGCAGGGTGACTGAGTGTGGTTAAAGTTTAAAAAAAAAAAAAAGCAGTGTGATGATGCATGTCTTTAATTTCAGTACTTTGGAGAGAGGCAAGAAGATTTCTGTAAATCAAGGTCATCCTGGTCACCCTAGGGAATTCCAGGACATCCAGGAATATACAGACAGACCCTGTCTCAAAAATAAATAAACAAGCAAGCAAACAAATAAACAAATAAATAAAAAAGTTGCTCGTGGGTGCCTTTAATCCCAGCACTCTGAGACCTATCTCAAAAAAAAAAGAAAAAGAAAAAAGAAGAAACAAACGAAAAGAAAAAGAAAACCGATTAAAGATGTATTTGCCTCCACTGGGCAGCTGCCCATCTGCAACAGAAAGAGCTATATGAGCTGAGGCAAAGGGGCCCTAGCAGGAAAGGCTGCAGGAAGCAGAAATGAGCAAGCATCAGACTGGTCTTTGTTCCTGAGACAGAGTCTCACTGTGTAGACCAGGCTGGCCTTGAATTCACAGAGATCCACCTGTCTCTGCCTCTCAAGTGCTGGGATCAAAGGTGTGCGCCACTGCTCTTGGCAGATTGGTCTTTGAACATCCTCATCTTGCCATGTGACTGGTGCTATAATTGTCCCATTTTGGAAAAACGACCTTTTTTGTGTGTGCATGTGTATATCTGATGGATATGTGCCTGTGTGTGATTGCACATGCACGTGTGGAGGCTAGATGTTGAAGTCAAGTGTCTTCCTCCATTTTTTTTTTTTTAGTGTGCATTGGTGTTTTGCCTGCATGTATATCTGTATGAGGATGCCAGACCTCCTGGAGATGGAGTTACAGACAGTTGTGAGCTGCCCTGTGGGTGCTGAGAATTGAATCTGGGTCTTCTGGAAGAACAGTCAGTATTCTTAACCACTGATCCATATCTCCAGCCCCATCTTCCTGCATTCTTTTAAATACACTTTATTTTGTGTGTATAGGTGTTTTGTCTACATGCATGTACATGCACCATGTGTGTGCCCTGTTGCCATGGAAATCCAGAAGAGAGCATTCGATCCCTTGCAACTGGAATTATACACGGTTATAAGCTGCCAGGTAGGTGCCAGGAACTGAACCCAGGTCCTCTGGAAGAGCAGCCAGGGCTCTTAACTGTTAAGCCATCTCTCTCCAGCTTCGGTTCTTTCCCGTCTTATTTCCTGAGACAGGATCTCTCACTCAACCTGGGACTCAATGGCTGGCTGGCTAGACTGGCCCACCAGTGATGGCTAGGGACCCGCCATCTCAGCAGCCCCAGCACTGGGCTATGAACCCACAGCAATGTCAGCTTTTCATGTGGGTGCTGGGGAGCAGTTCACGTCCTCCCTTTACCCACTGAACCAAATCCTAGACAGTGGGCAACCAACCTGGTTTTTAGGTTCTGTTGGATTATGTGGTCCTTCACCATTGGCTCTGTTGTGTTCTTGTCTGTAGGAGCTTAGCCCAGAAGAATGTCTTCTTCCATTTGTTTTGGTTTTTTTGACATAGAGTCTTGCTTTGTTGCCCAGGGTGGTCAAGGGTCCCAGAGTTCCTTCTGTCTCAGCTTTCTTTTTCTTTCTTTGTCTCTCTCTCCTTCTCTCTCTCCCTCCCTCTCTATCTCTTTTCTTTTTTTTTTTCCAAGACACGGTTTCTCTGTGTAACAGCTCTGGCTTTCCTGGAACTCGCTCTGTAGACCAAGTTGGCCTCGAACTCACAGAGATCCAACTGCCTCTGCCTCCCAAGTACTGGGATTACAGGCGTGCACCACCACCCCGTTGTGTCTCAGCTTTCTGGTTACTTGCTACTACAGGCAATAATCTCTTTTAAATTACAAAGAAGCAATGCTTTTAGATTTTTGGCCATAAAGAAATAGACTGAGGGCTGGGGAGATGGCTCAGTGGTTAAGAGCACTGGCTGCTCTTCCAGAGGTCCTGAGTTCAATTCCCAGCAACCACATGGTGGCTCACAACCACCTGCAATTAGAATTAGATCTGGTGTCCTCTTCTGGCCTGCAAAGACACATGCAGGCAGAACACTGTATACATAATAAATAAAATAAAAAAAAAAAAAAAAGAAATAGACTGAGCTGGGCAGTGGTGGCTCATGACTTTAATCCCAGCATCCAGGAGGCAGAGGCAGGCAGACCTCTGAGTTCAAGGATAGCCAGGGCTACAGAGAGAAACCCTGTCTCGAAAACGAAAGAAAGAAAGAAAGAAAGAAAGAAAGAAAGAAAGAAAGAAAGAAAGAAAGAAAGAAAGAAAGAAAGAGAAAGAAAGAAAGAAGGGAGGGAGGGGGAGAAGAAGAGGAGGAAAGAAAGACAGAAAGAAAGAAAGAAAGAAAGAAAGAAAGAAAGAAAGAAAGAAAGAAAGAATGAAAGAAAGAAAGAAAGAAAGAAAGAAAGAAAGAAATGCTGCAGGCTGCAGGAATATAGCATAAGAACTCAGCTGGTTATGGCAAAGTCACTACCTGGAGGAATCAGGGAATTCCTCCAGAGGAAGCCAAATCCCAAGGAGTTTTTGGTGTTACTTGGCTTGTTATATATCAGCTGTATTCTGTTATGAAAATCATGTGTGCCTTCATAGTTTTCCCAATTGACTTTCCCCTAGAAGGGCTAACAGTGTGGACTGATCACTCTCTGGACATACACATTCCAGGTATTTGGAGAACAGCCTCAGGAAAGGCTTTCTCTGGAATCAGATATCTCCCTTAGCCACTTTCAAGGACTATAGGAAACACACCCAGGAGGGCGCCCAACTTCCGAGGACTAACAATGATAGCAGCCCACAGGCAAGTCTCCTGACTTAAGGTAAATTCCACAAGGAGACACCGCCTAGGAGAGGTGGACGTTAAGTAATAGCTTTACACAATTTAGCTCGGACCCTCCCTTTATATACCGGTGAAAGGCCCCAGCACACTTGCTTAGCCTAACGCCATTTTGAGCAAGGCCTGAAAAGTACAGGGAAAGTTCAGTTAGAGGACATG